ACTGTGTGTGCCTTCAGGGGCAGAACAGCATGCTTGAGGGGCAATCCTCCTTCCACAGGAGGGCCTTGCCCACAGCTCAGGCTGCAATCCTGGGAAGGGAACCCCCTTGGCCCACATCACAGCCAGGGGAGATCCACTGGCTTGAGGTCCTGCCTCCTGGAAGAGTTTAGGCCCAGGAGAAACCACGGAATAGGGGAGAGTGGAAAGGAGCAAGGCCTTCTCCAGACTGCAGGTCTCAGACAGCCTCACCCCCACACACTTTTTCAGCTGAGTGGGGCCACGTCAGCCCCTCCTTGGCAACTTTGCCCAGGAGCACAGAATAGACCTTTAACCCCTGCTAGCAGCATTTGTTGTGCTTGAGGGCAGGCTCACCCAACCCAGCTCCACCCAGACTCTCCCCCACCTGCCCCCACTGAGGTGGAGAATAAGGACACACTTGGAAGTCCCAGAGCCCCACCTCCCACCTGAGGCACTAGAGTGCCTCTCCAGAGGAAAAAGAGCTGGTTACAGGACCCCAAAACAATACTGCAGTCTGCTCATCCCAGCAAGCGCCACTGACAGGGAGGTCATTCTGCACACACTTTAAGTGCAACTATTGACTCATCATACAAGGTATGGTCACCACCTACCACCACAAACACCACCTATTACTGGCTCAGACACTAAACATGGTGTGTCATTATTCAAATGAAAATCTAAAGATAAGAAGCAATAGCTGATCCAGATGGGAAGGAATCAACAAAAGAACTCTGGAAGTATGAAGAATCAAACAGAAATTTCCCCAAAGGAAAATACCAGCTCTTGAGCAATGGACATCAACCAAATTCAGAACACTAAAATGACAGAAGAAGAATTTGGAACATGGATTGTAAGAAAACTCAATGATATGCAAGAAAAAATGTATAACCAACATAAGGAAACCATACCTAAAAAAATCCAGGACTTGGAAGAAAAATTCACTAAAGAAATTGAAATATTAAAAAATCAAACAGAACTTCTGGAAATTAAGAATTTATTCAAGGAATTACATAACATAGTGGAAAACCTTAAAAACAGGGTATATCAAACAGAACAAAGAATCTTAGGGATTGGAGATAACACCTTTCAATTGAATAAGTCAGTCACAAAGAGCAGAGAAATAAGAGAAAAGAGCAAAGCCTACGAGAAATGTGGGATTACATGATAAAGCCTAATGTGAGAATCATAGACATCCATGAGGGTGAAGAAGAAAATACACAAGGGTTCAATAAGCTATTTGAGGATCTAATAGAGGAAAACTTCCCAGGCCTTGCTAAAAATCTAGATATCCAGGTACAAGAAGCTCAAATGATTCCTAGGAGATTCATCGCAAACAGGAAGACACCACAACACACAATCACCAGACTGACCAAATTAACCACTGAAGAGACCATCCTATGAGCTGTAAGGTGAAAGAAGCAGGTAACCTACAAAGGAAAACCTATCAGAATAACAGCAGACTTCTCAACTGAGACCTTACAAGCAAGAAGAGACTGGGGCCCCACTCTCACTCTTCTCAAACAGAATAATGCTCAGCCTAGAATCTTGTACCCTGAAAAACTAAATTTTGTATATGAAGGAGAAATAAAGACTTTCTCAGACAAGCAAAGACTGATGGAATTCATCAAGACAAGACCTGGAGAGGAAGTACTCAAAACAATGTTACACATGGATCAGCACAATAAACTCTCACGAATGTAAAATCATTCAAAAGTCAAAGTCCAGATACCACAATGGCTCAAGAGAGAAAACAAAGCAACAAAGTTCAACTCAACAGGATGAACTGAAATTTGCCCCACTTATCAATTCTCTCAATAAATGTGAATGGCTTGAACTGCCCACTAAAGAGACATAGGCTGGCCAAATGGATAAATATTCACACGCCAAGTATTTGCTGTACTCAGAAAACACATGTAACCCAGTCTACAGGATGCATTTAGACTCAAAGTGAAGGGATGGAAAACAATATTTAAGTAAACAGAAGCCAAAAGAAAGTCAGCGTGGCAGTTCTGATTTCAGATAACTTAGTCTTCAAATCAACAAAAGTAATGAAAGACAAAGAGGGTCACTATATATTAATGAAGGGTACAATTCAACAAGAGGACATAACAATTCTAAATATTTATGCACCTAACTCAGGTGTACCCAGATTCATAATGCAAATTATACTTGATCTAAACAAAATGATAAACAGCAACATCATAATAGTTGGAGACTTCAACACCCCTCTGACAGAACAGGACAGATGCTCCAAACAGAATATAAACAAAGAAACAATAGATTTAAACAGAACTCTAGAACAAATGGGGCTAACTGACATTTATAGAACATTCTACCCCAAACCACTGAATATATGTTTTGTTGTCGTTGGTGTTGTTGCTGTTGTTGTTTTTTGAGACACAGTCTCACTCTGTTGCCCGGGCTAGAGTGCCATGGCGTCAGCCTAGCTCACAGCAATCTCAAACTCCTGGCTCAAACGATCCTCTGGCCTCAGCCTCCCAAGTAGCTGGGACTACAGGCATGTGCCACCATGTCTGGCTAATTTTTTCTATATACTGTATTTGGCCAATTAATTTTCTTTCTATTTTTAGTAGAGATGGGGCCTCGCTCTTGCTCAGGGTGGTTTCAAACTCCTGACCTTGAGCATTCTGAGCATTCTGCCTGCCTCAGCCTCCCAGAGTGCTAGGATTACAGGCATGAGCCACCGCGCCTGGCCACTATATATTTTTAGTTGTCTGGCTAATTTCTTTCTATTTTTTTAGTAGAGACGGGGTCTCACTGTTGCTCAGGCTGGTCTTGAACTCCTGAGCTCAAATGATCCACCTCCCTCAGCCTCCCAGAATGCTAGGATAAACTACACTTTTGATTAGAAATCAGACATTTCATATATATATTATCTCATTTAGTCTTCCCAGTGTTGTATGGTAGTCATCATTATCCTCATTTTACAAATGTGGAAACCAAAGGTAACTTGACATATAGCTTAAAAATGGTATCTGGCCGGGCGTGGTGGCTCATACCTGTAATCCCAACACTCTGGGAGGCTGAGGTGGGTGGATCGCTCAAGGTCAGGAGTTTGAAACCAGCCTGAGCAAGAGTGAGACCCTGTCTCTATTAAAAACAGAAAGAAATTAATTGGCCAACTAAAAATACATAGAAAAAAAATTAGCCGGGTATGGTGGCACATGCCTATAGTCCCAGCTACTTGGGAAGCTGGGGCAGAAGGATTGTTTGAGCCCAGGAGTTTGAGGTTGCTGTGAGCTAGGCTGATGCCAAGGCACTCTAGCAGGGGCAACAGAGTGAGACTCTGCCTCAAAAAAACAAAACAAACAAAAAAAAAAAACTGGTATCAAAGTCTGACTTTATTTATTTATTTATGAATGACATAGGTTCTTGCTCTGTAGCCCAGGTTGGAGTGCAGCGGCACCATCACCGCTCACTGTAACCTCGAACTCTTGGGCTCAAGTGATTCTCCTGTCTCAGCCTCCCAAGTAGCTAGGATTACAGGTGCACACCATGACACCCAGATATTTAAACAATTTTTTTGTAGAGATAGGTGTCTCAATATGTTGCCCAGGCTGGTATCAAACTCCTGGGCTCCAGTGATCCTCCCACCTCAGCCTCCTAAAGTGCTGGGATTATGGGCAAGAACAACTGTACCTGGCCACAGTGTGACTATAAAGCTCCAATTCTTTTTACTATGTACTACATCACCTCTACTTCTAGGGAGGTTATTTATGTTCTGCACTATTCTGTTCTTTCCCAATTTTCTAAAATCATAGATTTTAGTAAGGAAAACAGGATTTTTTTCTTTTTTTAAGGTAATGAGAGCAGGAAGGCATCATTAACTAAAATCCACTGGACTTTATACAGTTGAAAAATCATTAGAGACCATTTTTCTCCCAAGGGCTTTATTGTGATATAATTTACATACAATAAAATTTATTCTTCACCCATTTTAAGTGTACAATTCAATGAATTTTAGTATATTTTTAAAAGTTGTATACTATTTTACAAAGTAATTTTAGAGCATTTCCATCAACCTAAAAAGAAACCTTGTGCCTTTTACATTCCCAGAGCTAAACTCAGCCCTCGCCACTGGCCCTTCCCCAGTACTCAACAAAGTGTCTGTCAACTGCACTTACAGAAAAAGACCAAGAACCCTTGGCAAGAGTCAGGGCTGGGTGATGGTGGGGGGCACCTAATCTGGCAAGTGACCTAGACTCTGCCCCACCTCAGTTTCCTCACCTGTTAAATGGGGGTGCTAACAGTACCCACCGGACCTAGGAGAGTAGACTACGTACAGTATCCTGAGCAGGCCTGTCCTGTTGTCAGCTGATATTTCTGCCCTCACACTGCTAGGCTCCCCTTGGTGTTCGGAGATAATAACCTCAGTGGGAAAATGCCAGCAAAGCAAGAGACACCCAGAATGGACAATCTAAGGCTCCTTCCAGCTTCAGAATTCTGGGCTGCTTTTCACCGAAATCAGGAATTGGGATGCAAATGTTCTTGTCTAAAAGACTGATGCTATAACCTACCTACCGGGGTTGTGGAGAAACGCCAAGGAGCTAAAGGTCAGGACAGTGCTTTGACATTTAAGCACTAAGAGCGAGCTTGGTTGATAGGCATATATATATTATCATATAGACACACTGTTGCTGCGGAAAAGGCGCCGAGGGGCCGGGCCAGCGCCACGACAGCGCAGGCGCCAATATCTGCCTCAGCCGTCGCCCCGAGGGCTCGCGGCCCGCGCGCGCGCAGGGACTGGTCAAGGAAGTTCTTCGCGGCCTCTGGGGCGCTACCCAGGAGCGCAGAGGGCGTCGGACAGCCGCTCCGCGACCCCGGCGCCAGCTCCCGGCCAGCCTAGGGCCTGAGCGCCCCCTGGCGGCACCACCGGCTTTTTAGAGCGACAGCTCGGCGGACGCACGGCCAAGGGGTGTTTCTGCAAATGAGCATGCGCAGCCTCCACCAGCTGTTCTCAACATAGGGGCGTGGCGTTCCATTTCAGCCAATGAGAAAAGACATTCGTCCCCGGGCCCCGCGCGCTGCTTGAGGAGCGGGTGAGGCTGGGGAGGTGGTTTCCTAGCAAGATGGCGTCGGGCGGCGTCAGCCGGGCTGCTGCTGCGGCCAGCATCTCTGTGAAGCCCATTTTCAGTCGAGACATGAGCGAGGCCAAGCGGAGGGTTCGCGAGCTCTACCGCGCCTGGTATCGGGAGGTGCCGAACACTGGTGAGAGGCAGCGGCGCACGTGGGGCCCCGGAGGCAGCAGCTCAAGGTCGCAGCCAGCTCGGCCCACTTTTCTCTCTCTCGGGCCGAGCTGAGGTCACTAACTTGGGCAGAGGCGACTCCGGATGCTTCAGGGAAAGAGGGTCAGCCGAGCATATGATGGGCCCGACCTGGCGGCGGTGCCGCGGGTCAGACTGGCCGTGCCCAGCATCCGTACAGCCCTCAGGCCTTTGGTCTCTTTTGTCCCCCGTAATTCTTACAGCACCCCCGGGAGGGAGGGCGGAGGACTGTCAATGACCTACTCATTTTGTAGGTGAGGCAACTGAGGCCCCAAGAGGCGAAGGGACGTGCCCAAAGCCCAGAGCTAGCCCAGGTGGATCTGGAACCCAAAGTCAACCCTGGAGTTCCAAGATATAATTACAGACGCCCACTAGGTTTTATAACCCAAGTGGCTGTAGGATTTCAGCAGTCATCCAGTTCCCACCCCGCCTCTCCTTATAGGGAAAGAAACTGGACCAGAGAAGGGAAGTGACTTCTCCCCGGGTGGTCCAGTAAGTCTAGTGGTACCTTTTCTGTTTCTTTTTTTTTTTTTTTTTTGAGACAGAGTCTCGCTTTGTTGTCCAGGCTAGAGTGAGTGCCATGGCGTCAGCCTAGCTCACAGCAACCTCACACTCCTGGGCTCGAGCAATCCTCCTGCCTCAGCCTCCCGAGTAGCTGGGACTACAGGCATGCGCCACCATGCCCGGCTAATTTTTTATATACATATCAGTTGGCCAATTAATTTCTTTCTATTTATAGTAGAGACGGGGTCTCGCTCTTGCTCAGGCTGGTTTCGAACTCCTGACCTTGAGCAATCCGCCCGCCTCAGCCTCCCAGAGAGCTAGGATTACAGGCGTGAGCCACCGCGCCTGGCCACCTTTTCTGTTTCTCCCTCCCCTCCAGTCTCCTAAACCTTGCTCCCTAGCTGGCCCTGCCTGTAGTATTTATTGAATTTCTCTCCCTGGCCCCTGTTGTTCTGCCCCCCATCACCTCGGCGCCCTTCCCTTCACTTAGATGGCATAAAACCAGTCTGTTCACCTAAAAGATTAGTATGTAAACTCCCAGAGTGCAGAGACTGTTTTCTTATCTTGGTATCCCCCTCAGTGCTGCCCATTATACTAGATAAAAGAAAGGCTGGGGTAAATCTCATCTAAACTGTCAAGGACAGTACAAATGTCGGGGACTGTTGATATTTTGTTATTTTCTTGATTTGACTTAGTGTTTTTAACATAGACTATCATGCTAGTCTGAGAGAGAAGGTGCTTTTGAGTGAGTTGAGCAGTACAGCGTTCCTCAGGCTGCTACTTCCCTACTTGTATGTGAGAGGCAGTGGAACACGGTGCTTGGGAGCATGGACTTGTCTCCAGGCTCTGCTCTTTAATAGGTATGTGACCTTGGGCCAGTTATTTCATTTGTGCCTCTGCTTCCTCATCTGTAAAATGAAGATAATAATAGTGCCTTCTTCAGAGACTTATTTTATTAAATAGGTTAGAATATCTAAAGTGCTTAGAACAGGGTGACACTTAGTTAATACCCCTCAAATACTGGCTGCTGTGTTATTGTTATTTAAAGGGCTTACCCTAGCAGGAGTCTCCCTGCAGAACCCAGTTCTTTGCTGTGTGATTAACTGTCTACTCCACAGAGTCCTATCCTCAAGGTGACTTTTGAAAAATTGCTAATGATCAGCACTTAAACCCACCTGAAACTGGGGAAGGAGGAACTTGAATGATCTGCTGGTTTAGAGACTATATATGCCTTTTGGGAATGGGTGGAAAGTAGGGGTGTGTGTGTGGGGTGGTGACAGTAGCAAGTGGGAGGGGGTGCAGTTCAAATTCAGATGTTTAAAAACTTCAAGAATACTTCTTTGAGTGTCCAAAACCCTTCCTTGTTTCTGGTGGGAGGTATGGGGGGAAGGAGGCCAGATTCAGGAAGGGTGATTTGTGAAGGACAAAACTTAATGGCTGAGTTGAAGATGGAAACCAGGTTCGCTGGCTGTTAAGACCCAACTTCTTCTAAATTTAGAAACCCTCCCTTTCTGTGTGGACTTGCACAGATGAATGAATGAATAAATCCATAAACAACCAACCAACCCGCTCCCAGGATCTTCCCTCAAAAACTGTTTGGGAGGCCGGGCGCGATGGCTCACGCCTGTAATCCTAGCACTTTGGGAGGCCGAGGCGGGCGGATCGCTCAAGGTCAGGAGTTCAAAACCAGCCTGAGCGAGACCCCATCTCTACCAAAAATAGAAAGAAACTAATTGACCAACTAAAAAAATATATACAAAAAATTAGCCGGGCATGGTGGCGCATGCCTGTAGTCCCAGCTACTCGGGAGGCTGAGGCAGTAGGATTGCTGAGCCCAGGAGATTGAGGTTGCTGTGAGCCAGGCTGACGCCACGGCACTCTAGCCTGGGCAACAAGTGAGACTCTGTCTCAAAAAAAAAAAAAAAACTGTTTGGGAAGGCTGGGCGTGGTGGCTCATGCCTATAATCCTAGCACTCTGGGAGGCCGAGGTGGGCAGATCGCTCAAGGTCAGGAGTTGGAAACCAGCCTGAGCAAGAGAGAGACCCTGTCTCTACTAAAAAAAAATAGAAAGAAATAATTGGCCAACTAAAAATATATAGAAAAACTTAGCCAGGCATGGTGGTGCATGCCTGTAGTCCCACCTACTTGGGAGGCTGAGGTAAGAGGATTGCTTGAGCCCAGGAGTTTGAGGTTGCTGTGAGCTAGGCTGATGCCACAGCACTCTAGCCCAGGCAACAAAGTGAGACTCTGTCTCAAAAAAAAAAAAAAAACTGTTTGGGAAGAGAGTGCTAAGAGTCAAAAGGGTCCTGAGAGGAAGAAAAGAAGGGAGAGGGTTACAGGAGCTTAGAGAGCAGGGGAAAAAGAAGGATCAAGGGGCAGTACAACCTCATGGGGAAGATCAGTGGTCTGAAGCCGGTCACTTGCTCAGGCCTGTGCTACACTGGTGTCATGGCCTCCATCACCATGACTCCCGCTGAGGAACCAAACCAAGGATTGGCAATTAGTGATAGTATTGATAACTAACATGTATTGAAATGCTTATTATATATAGCTCATCGCTATGCTAAATGCTTTACCTTGCCTTATTTTACGGTGGGGTCTGATTGTTTCCCCACTTTATAGATGATGAAACCAAGGCACAGAAACCTGTGTTAGGTCATACCATTAGTAAGTAGGAGAGCCTGACTATAAAACTCTGATACCTGGCTCTTAGCTCCTGTTGTAGTGTTCCCTGAATCTCTCGGAACCCAGTTTGGCACGGGAGCAGAGGGACAGAGAGCTGCCTTTGAATCTCTCCTTTGAAAAAATATGAAATGCTGCCTGCTGGCCACAACAGGAAACTTTTTGTAGAAACAGTTCATTCATTTAATTTCCATTTTACTGAGTACCTCTAGTACTCCAGGGTCAATAGTAGATGTCTAGAGAGATACAAAAGTGAATAAATCACGGCCCTGCCTTCAATGGTCTTAATGGTCTAGTCAGGGAGATAGACATATACCAGATAATTAAACCCAAAGTATAATAGAGGTATGGGAAAAAAAGTGCTAAACACTTTAACAGCCAACATTTGTGTCATGTTTACTGTTTGTAAGGTGTTGTCACTTGATTTTTGACCATATTCTTGTAAAGGAATTAGGTTAGAGGTTATTTTCTATTTTTTTAGATGAGAAAACAGGCTGAGGAGGCTGTATCCCAGACAAGGTTATAGTTCCTAAAGGTCTGAAGTCTGTACTCACCTCATTTGACCCCTGATCCCACAATCTTTTCCGTTACACCATGCTGCCTTCCCATTCAAGGATTGCCTAGTACCAAAGCGAATTGGAGCAAACAGCTGAGAGCTATATCAGTGTTGTCCTTCCTAATCTGTCAGAGCCTTCTGGACTCAGGAAAGCCTTAACAATAACTTTAGGAAAGCACACAGAGACTGTGGAAAAGTCACCTTCATCCAAAAGGGGCACTTCTTACCTTCCTTTTGAGCCTCAGATTTTTTCAAATTGAAATTTAAATATTCAGGATTCAAAAAATAAGCCAGGAATCTGTTAGTTGAGAAAGAACAGTTGGAATTGATTACCCCAGAGTTCAACAGCGCATTTGTTGTATGGGGCTGTCCTGTACATTGTAGGAGTTTAACACCATCCCTGGCCTCTACCTGCTAGATGCCAGTAGCACTCTCCCCATAGTTGTGACAACCAAAAATGCCTCCAGACATTACCAAATGTTCTGGGGGGCAAAATCGTCACTGGTTTGAGAACCACTAACTTAGAACAATTCAGCTAGGCTATGTCTGTTTGCCTTAGCAGCTTTCTTACAGGTGGATGGGTATGTTCAGGGTGTTGGGATGAGAGGAGGGAACCTAGGACAAATGTATGTCTCTCTGGAGACATACATACATACATACATACATACATCCTCCTACCTGGGAGGATGGCTACTTGGGGGATCTGTGACCTGCTAAAATTTTAAGCAAAACTTTGCATTTATGCACATGAATATTTTGCTGAAGAGAAGATTCATACACCCAGTGCCCTGGTGTGTGGCTCAGGAGATCATGAGCTGGTGCTGATGGGCACCAACTCCTGTAAGTATGCCTAGAGACACTTTGGTTTTTTTTTGTTCCCAAGGTTGGGCAGGACTCTGAAATATTAATAAAAATGTAGGAGGCCAAGTGTGGTAGCTCACGCCTGTAATCCTAGCATTCTGGGAGGCTGAGGTAAGAGGATTGCTTGAGATCAGGAGTTTGAGACCAGCCTGAGCTAGAGTGAGACCCTATCTCTACTAAAAAGAGAAAGAAATTAGCCAGGTGGGGTGCTGCTTGCCTATAGTCCCAGCTACTTGGAAGGCTGAGGCAGAGGGTCGCTTGAGCCCAGGAGTTTGAGATTGCTGTGAGCTAGGTTGATGCCATGGCACTCTAGGGCCACAGAGCTAGACTCTGTCTCAAAAAGAAAAAAAATTCAGGAAAGGTAAGCAGGGAGATTCCTCACATTCCTTTTCTTAAAAGAGGACTGTATTATAAAATAAAAAATAGCTTGGAGTCTAGGCCCATGTTTGCCAAAGACCACTGGTATGGCCACCAAGACACCACAGTGCTCTAGGCCTCACTCCTACCAAGTGTTAAGATTCTAAATTCCAGGTTCCATGTTTGTTCACATTTGTTTTTGCATCTCTTTGTCTTACTGTCCCTTTGCTCTTTTCTGAAATTCCTAATATAATATCTTGGTGACCAGCTTTCTGGGGGAAAAACTCAAATTTATAGTGTTTGCCATTTTCCATGGCATAAATATTCCCACCATGATTGCTTTTTAGGCTATCAAAGTGAAGTCATTGAAGGCAGATTTGGAAAGCGATGTGTATAATTGGCTCTCCATGAGACCCTGTCCATGGACACTAAGTTTTTTCTAGCGTGAATGATCCTCTCTGTCCTCTCTGTTGTTAACATTTACCTATTAAGCTGGGATGCCAGTTCTCCTATTAGATTTATGCTATTGCTTATGCCCTGGTTGGATCAGAAACCTTGTTTTCTTTGCCATGTGGCACTATATTTCCCTTAGCAGATACTTTATCATAGTCACTAAGTTATGAGTGTAATTAAAGATTGAAGCTTATTGTTTTGGTTTTTTTGTTTGTTTGTTTGTTTGTTTGTTTGTTTTTAGACAGAGTCTCACTCTGTTGCCCTGGCTAGAGTGCTGTGGCATCAGCCTAGCTCACAGCAACCTCAAACTCATGGGCTCAAGCAATCCTTCGGCCTCAGCCTCCCGAGTAGCTGGGACTACAGGCATGTGCCACCATGCTCGGCTAATTTTTTCTATATATTTTTAGTTGGCCAATTAATTTCTTTCTATTTATAGTAGAGATGGGGTCTTGCTCTTGCTCAGGCTGGTCTCAAACTCCTGTACCTTGAGCGATCCTCCCGCCTCAGCCTCCCAGAGTGCTAGGATTACAGGCGGGAGCCACCTCACCCAGCGTTGTTTGATTTTGAGACAGTCTCACTCTGTTGCCCGGGCTTAAGTGCCCGAGGCATTAGCCTAGCTCACAGCAACCTCAAACTCCTGGGCTCAAGCAATCCTTCTGCCTCAGCCTTCCGGGTAGGTGGGACCACAGGCATGTACCACCATGCCCAGCTAATTTTTTTCTATGTATTTTTAGTTGCCCCATTAATTTCTTTCTATTTTTAGTAGAGACAGGGTCTCACTCTTGCTTAGGCTGGTCTCAAACTCCTGACCTTGAGCGGATCCTCCCACCTCGCCCTCCCAGAGTGGTAGGATTACAGGCGTGAGCCACCTCGCCCCTCTGAAGCTTTATTGTTGATTAATAGAGTCACTAAATGGCCCTCATCGTTTTCAGATTTGGTTGTGATAGTTCTATAGACCAGAGTGGACATATCGCAGGAACGGGCAGCACAGTGCTCGTTCTCGCCCGTGAGCCTTGCTTATGCTGTTCCACGGCCTAGTGTGCTTCTCTTGCAGGGTCTGTATTTCACCTGCCACACAGGGCCCTGTTTGTGCTCTCATTGTCAACAGGAAATCCACTGAGAGCTGAATGTGCTAGGGGGTGGGAACACAAATGACTAAAACCCTATTTTCAGAGCACATCCATATGCTTCATGTGAAGTTCCAGGTCACTGAGTCTGTGCCACTACTTTAGGCACTTACTTAATCACAGATTGCAGAATATTTTGATTTTTTGCTTACATTCATAGCTGGCTGTCCCTCCAATCGGAATTTAACACCTAGAGAAGTGAAGCTACATACTAACCTCTCTCCTTCCCCCAAGTAACATAATAATGGTATTAAATAGTAACTACTTGTTGGACTGAAGCCTTCCTTAACCTGCACAAACCCGCAACTCCAACTTCATGTGGTACTTATAGCCTAAGCCATGTCATTTTACATCAATTTCAACCCTGTCATTTTTTGCTGATTTTCCATGTAAAAATAATGCTAACATTGATTGAGAGCTTGTTCCACGTAGGGCACTGTTGTAAGCATTTTGCATTATCTCATGAGATCCTCACAACAGCTCCAAAGTTACATGTGTTATTATCATCCTCATTTCACTGATAAATAAATACACTCAGGCACAAGGAAGTTAACTTACACAGGATCATAGAAGTGATAGTAATAGAATGGGATTTGAACCCACATTGTGCAGACTCTTGAACTATGCTATTCTGCTGTTTCAAACACACTGGTCTTGTTTCTCCCAACAAAAGGTAAGCTCCTGGAGAGCAAACACCAGGTCTCACACTTATTTACATCCTGAAGCACCTAGCTTAGTGTTAGGCTAATGTTTGGTGAATAGCATGAATGAGCATCCCATATGTATTCAATGAATGTCCTTAACTCTAGTTTTTAAAAACATGTTCTAACTTTATGATTTCTACCCTGAATCATGTTTTTCTTTCTAGTGCATTTATTCCAGCTAGACATCACTGTGAAACAGGGACGGGATAAAGTCCGAGAAATGTTTATGAAGAATGCCCATGTCACAGACCCCAGAGTGGTTGATCTTCTGGTCATTAAGGTAACTGACCTTCGCTGACCAATTTAAAAGATCAACCAACTTGTATAGTGCTCCTGTCTTCCCAGATGAACATTTTGTCTCCAAGTTTATTTATTTATTTTTTATTTAAAGAAAATATTTTTCCAATGGTCTAAGAAGCCAGCAGATTGTCTCCAAGTTTAAAAAGCAAGTACTGGCGCAGCACCTGCTCTGTGTTTCAAAGGAGTAGTTAACTTGGAGGTTGTCACCTGGTTAAATAGATTATAAGATTGTTCAAGGGAAAATCCTACAGTTTGCATTTGAAACTCTTCTTGAACCTCATCCCTGGAGGTTACAGCTTCACTTGGATCCCAGCTTATAGCTGGAAGAGGCAGTTAGGTTGCCTGAGTCCTGTGTAAATGGGGCCAACTCTTGGGTCTGATTGTGTCTCCCTGGCCAGTCATATTAGCAGCATGGGAGTTTCAGCATGGACCAGTAAATAACCTGGAGAAAATGTTAAGCAGAAACATAAGTTAAGCCAGTCAGGTTAGGCAGTCATAAGATAGGGGCCTGTTAACCTAGAAGTCTCTCCTCTTTGGACTAGTTAACAGAGTTAAATAATATTTGAAAGGTCTCAGAGATCATTTAGGCCAACCACCTTATTGTCCAGGTGCAGAAATGTTGTCTAGACAGAGTAATTCCTTGCCCAAGACATTCATCAAGCCGGTGCTGAGCAGAGAATAGAATCGTGGCCTTCAGGGTAGTATGCTTTTAACTGGCTTGACCGCTTTGACTGACAACCTCACCCTTACTTTTGCAGGGAAAGATGGAACTGGAAGAAACGATTAAAGTATGGAAGCAGCGGACACATGTTATGAGGTTCTTCCATGAAACAGAAGCACCAAGGCCAAAGGATTTCCTGTCCAAGTTCTATGTTGGCCACGACCCATGAAGTGGAAAGCTGTATGTTGATGTTTCATTATTTTAGAGCACAGATAAACTCATTATACGATGGTCACTTCGTGATAGAATTCTGTTGGTGAACCAGTTTTCTGCAGTCTCATTTTTTGCCTGAACAAGTGGGGTCTTGGTATACACACCACCTGTTCTTTCTCTTTTCCTGAAGTATGGTATTTGCTATAAATTAAAATGGATTCTCTTTCCCAGAGCCTTGCATGTTGGTAAACAGGAAGGAAAATGAGGCCATCTGCTCAGAAACTGTCACACTGGGTATGAAGCTGGATGATTTCTTTAGTTGTGTTTACACAGCTTTCATGACTAGACACCTTGGTTTTAGGGCACAGATTATCCAAAATTAACCAGCTCTTGCTGTCAGAGAGGGATCAGAACAGCACTAACAGGCACAGAAGTAGAGCTGACAAGATGGGCTAGTTTTCCCTGGGTTCTGGAGAAAATGGATGCTCAGTGGCCTAGCCCTTGTATTTACAATAAGCACCAGTCCTTAAAACGAAATTAACTTCCTTCCAGTTAGACATCCTGCAAGGGATAGAGCTGTTCAATGTACACAGAATAGAAATATTCCTACTGTTTTTGCAAACTACTCTGGTGTAGCTCTAAGTGATAGGAGAATAAATGTCAACTCAGGTTAAAGAACTGATCTCTGTTTGCTTTGGATGGTGGTCTCCTCTGTCCCTTCCCTGGGCAGTCCAGATGCTGGGGAAAGGGGTTCAGGATCTATAGGTATGACCATCCTGAAGGTTCCCAACCCCAGCACCCAGGATCCCTTTATTATCTTTTCACCTAAGGAACATGGGGAAAAATCTCAAACTCAGCGTTTGGTTTGTTTTGTTTTCTTTTTCTGGAGACAGAGTCTCACTCTGTTGCCATGGAGTCAGCCTAGCTCACAGCAACCTCAAACTCCTAGGCTCAAGTGATCCTCCTGCCTAAGCCTCCCGAGAGGCTGGGATTATAGGCATGCACCACCATGGCCAGGGAATTTTTTCTATTTTTAGTAGAGACGGTCTCACTCTTGCTCAGGCTGGTCTTAAATTCCTGAGCTCAAGCAATCCTCCCACCTTGGCCTCCCAGAGTGCTAGGATTAAGGTGTGAGCCACAGAGCTCAGCCTCAGTGTTTTCTCTATTTTCTTACTCAACAATCACCTAAGACTTTGTCCTGAACCCACACACAAAGCAAACAATCAATTCTGCAGCAGACACCAACTAGCTGTCCTTCACTTCAATTCTGACATTGTCTACCTAGAGATAGCATCAGTTCATGACTGCCCCCCTCTGAGACACCAGTTGCAAGTCGGAGTCTCCAGAACATCTGACAAGCTGGCTTCAAGTTGGGGTTCCCATAACCCCCTCTTTAGGTTCAATTCATTTACTAGAGCAGCTCACAGAACTCGGAAACACGTTTACCGGTTTCTTATAAAGGATATTACAGGCTGGACGTGGTGGCTCACGCCTATAATCCTAGCACTCTGGGAGGCCGAGACAGGTGGATCGCTCAAGGTCAGGAGTTTGAGACCAGCCTGAGCAAGAGCGAGACCCCATCTCTACTCAAATAGAAATTAATTGGCCAACTAAAAATATATATATATATATATATACAAAAAATTAGCCGGGCATGGTGGTGCATGCCTGTAGTCCCAGCTACTCAGGAGGCTGAGGCAGTAGGATCTCCTGAGCCCAAGAGATTGAGGTTGCTGTGACCTAGGCTGACGCCAGGCCACTCACTCTAGCCTGGGCAAGAAAGTGAGACCCTGTCTCAAAAAAAAAATTAAGGATATTACAAAGGATACGAAGAGATGCATAGGGCAAAGTATGGGGGAAGGAGCTTAGAGCTTCCATGCCTTCCCTGGGTGTACCACCCTCCAAAAACCTTGTGTTCAGCTATCTGGAAGCTCTCTGAATCCTGTCTTTTTATGCCTTTTATGGAAACTTCATTGGCTAGGCATGATCGAAGCATGGACAGCCATGTAGAAATGTGATTGTACAAAAAGGGAATGATATAATGGTAATAGACTGAGTAGGGAAAAGCCTTTCTGTTCAGATGGGCTCCTTGGGCTCTTTGTGTGGTAATTTCTTCCTTCTTCCTCTCCCATATGGGGCAGCACCCCTTCTGAAATGAAGGTCTTATGACCTACAATCAGACAAGGTAGATCAGAGAATTTCTTTAGGGCCAGCTCCAAGAAGGTAGGGGAAGATAAGAGTATTTTTGGCGTCTATGGCCTGTCCTGGGTAGAAAAAGGAGCAGGTGAAAGGAGGGAAGGAGGAGGAGAGAGATGCTGTTTCCTGAGGTCTGATGTGCCTCTTTTTTTATTTTTGGAGATAGAGTCTCGCTTTGTTGCCCAGGCTAGAGTGAGTGCCATGGCGTCAGCCTAGCTCATAGCAACCTCAAACTCCTGGGCTCAAGCAATCCTGCTGCCTCAGCCTCCTAAGTAGCTGGGACTACAGGCATGCGTCACCATGCCCGGCTAATTTTTTCTATATATATTAGTTGGCCAATTAATTTCTTTCTATTTATAGTAGAGATGGGGTCTCACTCTTGCTTAGGCTGGTCTCGAACTCCTGACCTTTAGGAATCTGCCCTCCTCGGCCTCCCAGAGTGCTAGGATTACAGGCGTGAGCCACCACACGGGCCCTGATGTGCCTCTTATGTGAGGAGGAAACAACATTGTAACAAAAGACTGAAACATGGGCTTTGGGAGTTATGAGCCAGGAACTGTGGATGAAAACCAACATATATATATTATAATATCACAGAACCCAAGTTTTGAAAGAATCATTCTAATAATGATAGTTAAGTAGTTGTAAGTTAACAATCAAAGTTCCTCATTCTGGGTACATGATAATAAGCCAGTATTGCTGAACATATAAAAGCTTGAGGATTTAGTGCTTTGTTAGGGAAAACAGTTTGTTGGGCTTTTGTAAATAATGAAAATAGGTCCCAGGTCCCCATAATAACCTTTGTGGATCCATAGGCACCTGATATCCTGGGTTATGAATCAAAGGTGTATGTTTCTCTGATGAAGAAGGGACAGCAGAGACAATTAACTGCAGCAACTAGAGCACGCTCATACTAAGAAACTTTAGCTGTCATTCAGTCATTCGTAGCTGATGTTTATTATGTTTATTCATATTTGGTTGCTTGTATTCTGGTGCCCAGTGGACAGCACATCTTGGGGAACCTCCCAGAGCCTGGAGATCTGGGCTATGGTCACAGACCATGCAGGAGGCTTCACTGGACTAGGGAGGCTGAGGGCTTTCCCTGAGCCCTTCTGCTGACAAGGAAGGAAGAGAGGCTGAGAGCATCACCATGTCTTCAGTTAGCACCTTCTCCATTCTGAACTTCCTCCACACCCTGGAAGAAAGGAAAGCAGCAGTAAACTGGGCAATACAGCAGTCCTCCATCCACATCCTGAAAGAGAATTCCACAGAGGAGTTTTACCAAACATGACAGGAGAAAGGCAGCTTTGAGTATGTTTGATTATGGATTCAGATATTAACAGGGCATTCACCACAGACCTGGCACTGGGGGCCCAAAGGTATAAAAAAACATGTTCCCTGCCAGCAAATAGCTCATAGTTTAGTAGAATTTTGGTGTGTGTTTAAGCACATAATATGAATTGTTTTAAGCAAAGTACTGGTCACTCAGGAAGGAGGGATGAAGGAAGACTTCAGAGACATCAAGGTTGGGTGCAATGGCTCACAACTATAATCCCAGTGCTCTGGGAGGCTGAGGCGGGAGGATCACTTGAGGATGGGAATTCAAGACCAGCCTGAGCAACATAGTGAGACCCTAGCTCTACAAAAAATTAAAAAATGAGCTAGGCATGATGGTGTGCACCTGTAGTCCTAGCAAGGTGGGAGGATCACTTGAGCCCAGGAGTTCAAGGCTGCAGTGAGCTGTGATCATGCTACTACACTGTAGCCTGGGTAACAGTGCAAGATCCTGTCTCAAAAAAACATTGAAGAATGGTTGGAATTAAGACAGAAAGCACTGAAAAGGAGCCTTCCACATAGGAAGACAATGAACCAATGCTTGGGGCTGGGTAAGAAATGGTAAATATTAAGGATAGTTATGTAAGAATATGGAAAATGAGACTGGGATAAAAAGTATGATCAGATTATGGCAAACCTTGAATGCCAGGCTAAGGAGTCAGGAGCATTCTTATCTATGACAGTCATCCTGCCACACAGCATATATTAGAGCACAGGAAGTCAACACAAGATAGCTGAATGGTAAGAGGACTAGAACTCCTGGGGGAAGGATCTCTGAGCAGCATATGAACCACGCTGTGATGTCCATGTACAGGCTGTACTGCTGCAGAGCTTGGTGATTAGAGCTGACTGGGGAGGACTTGTAGTTTCTAAATTTCAATATGGAACTGTTCAAATGGTGCTGTTGGCATATTAAATTGTCAAGAAGACTTAGTATTGACTGAATGATACATCAAGGGTAACTGAAAAGGCTGGCTAGGACCCCCAACTTAGTTGAAAGAGACTCCAGTGAATGTGAAGTTACCCTCATCCAATACAGGGAAAAGGGAAAATAAAAACATTACCCACCAAGTGGGTCAATTCATTAAAGCCTCTGCCCTGAGTGTGTAAATGCTGCTCCCTGGCCAGACTGTACACAGGTCAGATGCTCCACTCTGCTTCCTGCTCCTGGTTCATCTAGGCGTAAAGCAAATCTTACCTTTTAGTCATCATCGTCGTCATCCTCTGGGACAAAAATGTCATGTTCCTCAAGTAGAGCAGCAAAGTTCTTGCTAATGAGTGTCCCAACATAGAGAAAGGGGATCACAATGGAGAACACGCGGAGAAGGCCGAAGGACATCTGCAGAAGGTCAGAATGGTGGCCGTGAGTTCCAGAGTCCACTTTGGCAGGACCATAGAAGGCCAGACCCTCTCATGGGCATTCCCTCCTATGGACCCCAGACCCATCATAAGCAACTTGATTTTAAAGCCCTTGGAAAAATTCAGAGCAAGGAAAATAATTAGAAAAGGAGAGAGAGTAATTGTTATGGCCACCAAAGTGAATATTGAAAACTGTAAGGCACTCTAGACATCTCAAAGTTAGGGCACAATCTGCTAATTAGTTGTAGATATCTACAAACAAGCAGGTGAGAAAGTAAGTGGTTTATGGTCAGCTCCACTTGGAGACACTAAATACAAGAAAATGGGTTACAGAAAGATGTACAGTTAAGGGATATTTTATACAGTTAATTAACAGGTTTCCTGATGCCTAAGAAATTTGATTTCACCACATTAAATTTTATAAACAGGTGTGTTTGCAAGTGGCCATATCTTTACACTATGACTATTTACATGGACTGGGGGAGTGTCAGTAAAATCTCGTCAATATTTCCTATTTTCCTGGAGTTTACAAAAGAAAAGGTTTTCAGCTGTGCCTTTTTATGAGGCCACTCTTTCCCAGCATAGACCATGCACCTTCTTTTCTTGCTTGCTGTGAAACTGCCCTGCAGTCAATTCTGTGAGTTTGCACAGGCCAAACTAGCTTGAAAAGAAATTTCTTAATTCCCACACAGCTCTGCAGTCAAAAAGCAAACTTTTGTTTGCTATAAGGGACTGTTTCCATTTTCCTTAGGAAAAACCCAAGGGTATTGAAGGCACGGGATAGCATTCGGTGGTGGATAAAAATAGGACCTGGTGGGAGTTGTACCAAGAAGCAACCTGGATGCCGGGACCTAACTCAGCTGCTAGCCTCGGATACTGACTTCACAGCTCTGGCCCTGATTGTTCCTTTGTAAAAACAGTGATTGTACTAATTTCCTGCACATCTCTCAGGACCGCATATCACATGAATTAACTACCAAGTGACAACTCATAAAAAGATAAGGTCCGTCCCACATACCCTTTATTTACAAAATTCCTTCACGATTCATTATTTCATTGCATCAGCTGTATGAGGCAGAGCAGAGATTACATGACTTGTCTAAACTGGATGCACAAAGCTGAGTCTTCTGACTCCAGAGGAATAGGGCACCGCACCCCTTACGAGAAGCTACTGCAAGATGCCATCTTTCTCAGCTTTTGCCCCCATCTGTCTCCAAGCACCCTGCTCAACACCGGGTTCTAACCGACCGTTTTCTCCCACCTTTCAAAATAAGCAACATTAGCGCAAAAATTTGTCCTTGGTCCGCCTTCTAGTCTAAGGCGATCGTATGATTGGCTTCTACTTCTGTCAATCAGCGTGGGTCCACACTGCACTCCACACAGCAATTGGCCTCGGCCCCTTTACCCCGCCTCCCGGCAGACACTCACTTTCACCGGTTTGGGCAAAATGGCGCCGCTGCGGGTAACGATGACTGACCGCGACGGCACTAGGCTCTGACCTGAGGCGCCGTCATTGCCACCTTTCCTCAAGCTTGGCCCGCTCCGGAGAGCCCAGAATCGGACGGGTGCCAGTGGTAGCCAGCGAGCCACTCCGGACGCCATCTCCCAGCTCCGCCCCTCGCCTGGACACCCGGACCTCACCGCCCGACGCCGGTGCCGCCCTCAGGAAGAACGTCGCCTCCAGCCTCGCGAGGCTCTGGAGCACACGAGAAGCCCAGCCCTCACACTTGCGCAATGGCCCCAGTTCCTGCTGCGATGGGAGAGTTTGTCACCCGCCGGACGTGGTGACGTCAAGAGACCGACGCCCCAGTTCCCCGCAACTCCCGGGCTCCGGGGGCGGGGCCGTGCGGCTCGGGCGTGCAGAGGGAAGCCTCTGTCATTGTTCGCGCACCCACGGCGGCCGCGCCTGGGGGAGCAGGCTTAGGGGACTCTTGCAATAAACTTAAGGAACCGTTATGAGTAATAAAAAAACCCCTTTACTCAGTGTTACAATCGTATACAAAACACTAACAATAAAAAGATAAAAGCCGTAGTATCTGTGTATAAAATAAAGTGCAGTGGCTACCAGACTGGGAAAAAAGACGGCGGGAACAGGCCCTGGGCAGCATGCCTGAGGCCTAGCTGGGTCTTGGTCGGTGTGCCCAAGGCCCTACTAAGGGGAAGAGAGGCTTGGAAGGGGCAGCTTGTATGTGTTTGGGAAGCAACGAGGCTCTGCAACTTCCCACCAGCCACTGCCACCACATCCCTAAGGCATCAGGCTAGTCTGGCCTCTTGCCCTACCGACCCTGAACAATAGAAAAAGATGTGGCAGGCAGGGCGCGGTGGCTCACGCCTGTAATCCTAGCACTCTGGGAGGCCGAGGCGGGTGGATCGTTCAAGGTCGGGAGTTCAAAACCAGTCTGAGCAAGTCACCTGTCTCTACTATAAAAAGAAAAATTAATTGGCCAACTAAATATATATATAGAAAAAATTAGCCTGGCATGGTGGGGCATGCCTGTAGTCCCAGCTACTTGGGAGGCTGAAGCAGAAGGACTGCTTGAGCCCAGGAGTTTGAGGTTGCTGTGAGCTAGGCTGACGCCACAGCACTCTAGCCCGGGCAACAGAGTGAGACTCTGTCTCAAAAAAAAAAAAAAAAAGAAGAAGAAGAAGAAAGAAAAAGATGTGGCAGTTGACCGTAATCCCAATGCTCTGGGAGGCCATGATGGCAGGATCACTTGAGCCCAGGAGTTCAAGACCAGCTAGGCAACATAGTGAAACCCTGTCTCTATAAAAAAGAAAAAAACAAGCCAGCCATGGTGGTAAGTGCTATCTCAAAAAAAAAAAAAGAAAGAAAAAAGAAAAGAGAGAGAAAGAAAGAAAGAAAAACAAAACACTTGGCAGGGATTTTCTTAAGTACACCCTGAATGACAAGCAGGACTGTGAAAAGAGTCCAGCTGGTCTCACTAGCAGTTTCAGGAGCAGGAACACTTATGGGAGCCCAGTCAGGAGAAAAGAGTTTATCACAACGTTCTGCGAATCCTGTGTCCAAGCTCCTAGAATGCCCAGGACTGAGAACTAAAGTAACAAACTGGCTTTCCCCAGGAAGCCACACTGCCTTCCCACCTCTTCTTTAACTTCTCACTTGGCAGCTCTAGGAGCTGGCTGTTGAGGACAGAGTACAGCAGGGGTTTCTGCTGACATATAAAAGCCACCAGCCCCTCCTGGGGCTATGCCCAGCACTATCTGTTGACAGGGCAGCCATCGAGACAGGATGGGGGCGCCCCAACACCTTCTGAGCAGAATAAATCCCTTTATTGGCTGCAGGCCCTCTCCCTCCAAAGGATCCTACCTAAACTGCTGGGTGGGAATCCCATGCCAATCTTCTCACCCCTCTCAGGAAGAGCTGGGTCCCAGAAACCCCCATGAAACAATAAATCCACTTTCTCTGACAATGTCAGCCCCTCAATCATACTTGTGTCCTTCAAATGCCAAGCTCCCATTGGAAATGGTGCTATAGAATCTGGTGTGTGGGTCAAACATGTGGGCATGTACAATTCCCTTCTGCTCATTAACATCCCCAAGAGAAGGCAGTCCAGCCAGTCAGGAGACCAGCGTCTTGCTCTGTGCTCTGAAGTAAACCACCTTTCCTCTCTGTTCTTCAGAAATAAAAGGATGGTCTTAATGATCCCTCCCCTCCAGGTACAAGTTTGGATGTGAACTTGGAGAATGCCTATAAAGCAAGGAGAAACAACCCCTAAAAGCAAACTTGGAAATGAGTTAACATTTAACTTTTTCAGACTGGGCTGAAAAAACACTGGCCCTGGTGTCCTGACCAGCAGGACAGGGGCAAAACTCAAAGGGCCCAGCATCAGAGCCTAACCTGTTCCTCACATCCTGCCTTGCTCCCCCGGGCCCTCTGCTGCCACCCCCGCCGCAACTCCACAATCTCCTGGCCATACCAGTTGTGGAGGGTGGAGAAGCAGGAGGTCTCAGGGGATACAGGGCTCTGCTTCCTGCCTAGGAGGAGGCTGGCAGGGCCCTGCAACTCCCACTCAGCCAACCCTCGCCCTGCTGACCTGCTGCTGCCTTCTTCAACTAAGCCCATGGGGCTGCAGTCTCTGGGGAGGGAGTGGCCATTCTCCAGGCCCAGAGACCAACAGTCAGGAGCCTGGGGCTTACAGCGGCTGGAAATGGCCTTCCAGGATGAGTGGCGATGCAAAGCTAGGCTCTGGCGGGCGTCCTGCAATTGGCTCTCCAGCTCTCGTACCACCAGGCGCATGTAGCCAAAGCTTGCCCGGGACAGCGCCTTTACCCAGGCCTCCTGGGCCGCCGGTCCATCTGCCGCCAGCAGGTGTGGGCGCACTCCAGGGGCATCAAAGCAGATGGCGAAGGCAAACTCTTCAGGAGCTGGAGCTTCAGCCAGCTCCACTGTGCAGCCCTCCAGCACCACCAGGCTCAGCGGGGCCCGGCCCTCGCGACTCTCGAAGGAGAACAGCAGGTTGCCCTTGAGAACAAACCAGCATCTTCGGCCAGTGCCACTGGGGGTAGGTGGGGTCCCTGGGCCCCCCCAAGTACGCAGGTAGCCTGTGTGGTCCGCTGGGGAGTCGCTCAGCGCATAGTGGGTTACACTCCTCTCGTTCAACTTCATGGCTCCCACAAGAACTGTGGGGTGAGAGAGGTGACATGGGATTAGAGAGGGAGGTGGCCCCTGTGGGAAAGAACATTGGCTTTGGAGGACACCTGGCCCCAGCCCTGTGGCCCCTACTCACTTGCTGTGTCCCTGAGGCTCTTAGTGTCTTCATCTGTGAAAAGGGCTGGTTGTTCCTTCCTTTTCTCTCAAAGGGACGTTGTGAGGATCACGCAAAAAACTGGGCATCAGAGGACACAGAGAAGAGGATAATGTGATTGTACCAGGAGGTATGGCAGGGTCTTAACAGAGCTTTCTACAATTCAAAGAAACAGGCCCCAGCTGGGCTGAAATGGACCCCAAACCCATAAAAAACACTGTGCTTAAATTATCCCCTAACTTGGGGGCTTCTCAGCTCCAATTCTGAGGCCAAATCTCCAGGGTTTCCATGACCCACCTGGGCCTCAACTGGCCTCTCACTTGTGTACAGCACAGTTGAATCTTGTCAACCTAAAGGCAGAAGCTCAGGCACAAAATATAGCTTTCAAGAGTTTACTTGAGTCAAAATGAGGACAGCTGCCCAGGACACACTTCCAAGCTGCCTTGGGGAAGGCTTCGTTTGGCCTTTGTTACAAGCAGCTTCTCTGTTTTGTTTTATTAGACAAAGAGTCTTGCTCTGTTACCTGAGCTAGAGTGCCATGGCATCATCATAGCTCACAGCAATCTCCAACTCCTGGGATCCAAGGATCCAACGGCCTCAGCCTCCTAAGTAGCTGGGACTACAGGTGCATGCCACCACACTTGGCCGATTTTTCTATTTTTTGTAGAAATGAGGTTTCACTCTTGCTTAGGCTGGTCTTAAACTCCTGGCCTCAAGCAGTCCTCCCGCCTCAGCCTCCCAAAGTGCTAGGACTACAGGCATAAGCCACCACATCCTACAAGCAGGTTTTTAAAGGCAAAAAGGCCAGCCTGAGCAAGAACTGTCTCTACTAGCAAGTCTCTACTAAAAATAGAAAGAAATTAGCGGGACAACTAAAAATATATACAGAAAAAATTAGCCAGGCATGGTGGCCCATGCCTGTAGTCCCAGCTACTCGGGAGGCTGAGGCAGTAGGATCGCTTGAGCCCAGGAGTTTGAGGTTGCTGTGAGCTAGGCTGACGCCACGGCACTCTAGTCCAGGCAACAGAGTGAGACTGTTTCAAAAAAAAAAAAAAGGCAAAAAAGGACAAGGAATGGGCTATTTGACAGGGTTCTCACTGGTTTGCAGAGATAAGACTGATTAATTATTGGCTATACATTGTTGAACTTGGGATATAAACTATAGGCTGTCCAGTCCATGGCACTTTATGGCTACTTGCCATCAGTTAGCTTAAAGCCCACCTAGCAGATGGATTCAAAAGTTAATTATTTAGCTCAAGAGGAGAGTGAGACTTGACTGCTGTCATATTTCAGAGCCTCTCTGGGCCTAATAATTCAAAGGGGCTCAAATTCCTCAGACAAAAAGTTTTTCTCTTCTTTCGCAATCTGCAGTCTTCGGGGCCTGCCGTATGAGGGCTCAGATGAGCACCTGCTCTGCAAACAAGAGTGTGGCACACACACAGGGTATGGCTGAGAAGAACCAACCACAATCACTGAATGTAGATGCCCCAGGGATCATAAATGGCACCTAATGCAACTGTCCTACTAACTCATAGAAAACTAAGGCCCAGAGCAGTGAAGGGGAACTGCCTAAGGTCACACTGGCCAGTGAGAAGCAGAGCTTGTTCTCCCAATTCCCTCACACCTTCTGGGAGAAGTCTTGGTTGTGACCCACTTACCATCAGGGCTTATGGGGGAAGGCAGGGAACTTCTCTTTGGCTACACAGCTTAGCCCTTAGACGACGTGGTTCCAGGGAGCCTGCAAAAACAATTCTCAAACCCAGTCAACCCATCCTAAAGAATGAGAACTCCTCCTCCTCCTCTGGGGTCCAGTGAAACCACCACCTCCACAGGAAGCCTTCTTTGATTCCTGATAATCTCCCCACCCATCTACCCAGGCCAGGCACCTATAAGCATCTTAAGGGGTGGGGTGTCCTTGTCTTGGCCATTACACTCCAGACCTCAGATCCCTGTCGCTGAGGCTAGGTCAGAGATAGGTGCCCTCACAGCTTCAAGCGTTTCCCTTCTAGCACTTGTCACAGTTTCTTTGTGGGCTTTAATTGAAGTGACCTAATCCAAGAGGCCTTCCCTGATCACCAATTCTAAAGCAGCTCTGCCCACCAAGGTGGCCTGACCTAAGGTCACCTGCTCAGCAGTCAGTCCTCTCTCTTCTGGTTTTGTTTCCTTCATGCCAGGATGATGTTGTTTGTGTTTACGGCACTGTTTCTAGCCCCAGAATGTCTAGGGTGAGACTTGGCCCCCAGGGTAACCCCCTATATCCCAGCGCTGTGCAGGGCTCAGAGAGGCCCTCAGGAAGTAGTTGTGTCACCTGCCCTCCTGGAGCCTACTGGGGTGGGGTGGGGTGGGGCAGACACTGTAGGCAAACAAAATAAATAAATAATAAATCAATGAAATGACAGACAACGTAAAGGCGGTCATGATTAGGGCTATGGAGAGAAGCAGCCCAAACCAGGGGATGGGAGGAGAGGCCGTCTCAGTGTTATGGTCCGGAACGCAAGAAAAGACCACCTGAAGACTGAATTAAGCCAAATTGTGAGTCTTTATTAGCTGGCCAGCGACTACCCCTGTACTGCTGAGAGGCAGGTACAGAGAGCAGTACTAAGCCATAAAAGCAGGGAGGTTTTATACAATCCTAAGTTAGAGCTACGTGACTTCAGGCATGAGAGTTGGAACAGCGTTATACCACATTTTCCACAGCTGCAGGGTCCGAGACCAGCCAAGGACCACATCCTGTTCTCATAACAATCTTTTTTTTTGTTTTGAGACAGAGTCTCGCTTTGTTGCCCAGGCTAGAGTGAGTGCCGTAGCATCAGCCTAGCTCACAGCAACCTCAAACTCCTGGGCTCAAGCGATCCTCCTGCCTCAGCCTCCCGAGTAGCTGGGACTACAGGCATGCGCCACCATGCCCTGCTAGTTTTTTCTATATATATTAGTTGGCCAATTAATTTCTTTCTATTTATAGTAGAGACGGGGTCTCGCTCTTGCTCAGGCTGGTTTCGAACTCCTGACCTCGAGCAATCCGCCCGCCTCGGCCTCCCAGAGTGCTAGGATTACAGGCGTGAGCCACCGCGCCCAGCCCTCTCATAATAATCTTTTAAGCAAGTGGGTTCACAGAAGCAGAAGGCATTAGTCCTAGCCAAAGTACATTCTTTCACGGGTTAAGCAATCATAGTAAATTTTTAACTACACGATACTCTACACAGATTGAAACAATTAAAACAATCAGTCAAAAGTTAATGATTTTCTGTTGTCACAGGGAACAATTTCACTATCACAACTGAAGGGCAGGCTGAGTTTTAAACTTTGAGGTCCTTTATATTCCCACTGGTTTTTCTGTGAGAATCAAATCCTTGATTCCTCATCACAGATGTGATGATAGTGAGTGCAGAGAACCATCAACTTCACACTGTGGATTCATTGTTTCACATAGGACAGAAGGCAATTAATTATACATGGGCCAATTAATAGAGCTAGTAGTAGAAGAATTAGTGGCCCTGCTATAGCCGACAAAAGAACTGTCAGCCAAGGGGACCAAGAAAAGAGATTTTCATACCAATTATTGTTTGCTGTGTAATTTTCTTCTCTTTCTCGTTACCTGTTACGTATCTGGGAGAGACTGTTCTTGATTACCCCTGAATGATTAGCACAGAAACAGCATGTTTCTCCCAGAGCTACACACAGGCCTCTCTGCTTAAGGAAAAGGAGGTCTAGGCCCATGCCGTTCTGCAAGGGAATCAACTGAGTGCTGTAAGTGACTGACAGATTTTTCTAATTCTCTGAGATCAAGATCAATTTTTTGGCTTAGAACTTTAAAATTCTGATTGCTTGTTATGAGTGCAGAAGTGCCTATTGCCGCTGATCCTGAGATTCCCAATCCTACAAGTAGAGGCACTAATACAGGTACAGCCCTTTTAACACGAAAGGGGCTGAAACTTGCAAATGTTCTCTCCCACTATCTCCAGAATGAAAGTATACCTGGGGAACATTTATGCACAAGAATACAGAGATCCTTTTCCTGAAAGACTATAGAAGGTCTCACCCACGGGGTAATGCCAGCTGTGCAGGCAAGCCAGGTACCTTCAGGGGCAACAAGGAGTGATCTAAGTTCAGGGTCTGTGGAATTATCTACCTTTATGACTGAGCTACAGGAGTCCCTGTTGGGAGAGCGGGCTAGAACAAAATCTGGGGGACAAATGCAAGTTCCCCCGCTCTTGTAGATACTCTAGGGTTAATTTGGGCTTTTGGCTCCATCTGCATAAATGTTGCCTCTGGGCTTCCTCAGAGGTTGAATTTTTTTTTTTTTTTTGACACAGAGTCTCACTCTGTTGCCCAGGTTAGAGTGCTGTGGTGTCAGCCTAGCTCACAATAACCTCAAACTCCTGGGCTCAAGCAATCCATCTGCCTCAGCCTCCCGAGTAGCTGGGACTACAGGCATGCACCACCATGCCCGGCTAATTTTTTCTATATATTTTTAGTTGACCAATTAATTTCTATTTTTAGTAGGGGGGGGCGGGGGGGAGGGGGTCTCCCTCTTGCTCAGGCTGGTCTCGAACTCCTGATCTTGAGCAATCTGCCCACCTCAGCCTCCCAGAGTGCTAGGATTACAGGAGTGAGCCGAGGTTGAATTTTTGATATCGGTTTCTTTGAGGCGAACAGAATGGTTGGTTCCAATTCCTACCTAATAAGTGGGCTCCGGATTTAGGCAAAGCCAGCAATCCTTGGTTATGTTAGGACTAGTCTGATTTATAAAGTTATAAACAGAACTTAACAAGTTGAGTAAAGATTGTCTATGGAGAACAGGTGCAAGGTCATGAATGGGAAGGGTTGAGGCAGGCGGTGTAACTAGTGTGCTGACGGGCCATGGTAAGCTTGTGAGCTTAGGCCCAAGGTATGACTTACAGTTAGGTCCTGTGGGGTTAGATTGCCGGGCAGGGGTAAACCTCTGGATGGTAAAATGAATTCCTGGGTCATAACATCCGCCTATAGAGGCATACAGTCTAAAGCCCCAGGTTTTTCTGGAAGCCCAAGTTTGGGCATGCCATTGGTAAATTCTAATAGTTACAGGATTATATGACCCGAGTGCGGTGCAGCTATGCTTACCTCAAGTTAATGAGATATGGGAGTCTTTCTTTACCCAGGATGCAATAGTTTCACAGCCCCACTTGGCACAAGGATAATGACCTTCTGCCTGACAGTGCGGGTCCCGGTGGCTGGGCAAGCATAGTATTGATAAGTCTGTAATGCCCATTCCGTGCTTAGCGTGCGGCACCCATATGGAGATTCTGGACCTATTTCATCTTCCTCAGCCAGTTCCCTGACTCCTGCGTTTTTATAATTTTCGCCAAAGAGCCGACAGAGATCAAAATGAAGGACAGGCTGCGACAGAGAGGAATGTTGAGTGACCATGGTACCATCAATTGACTGTGTAAGCACCCACGTGTAATTTGTGGGTTAATGGGGAGTCCCAACGGCTGAGACAACTAGGACAAACCAGAGGAGTGTCAGAAAAGTCTTATCTTTAGTGGGTCCTCGGTGGGCCGGGCGACCCATTTCTTGGGAAGTTGATCGGGGGCGCTGTCTTGATCTGCAAGTGGTGGATCCAGGGACGCTTTCCGGCAACCTTTACGGCCGTTGGCGTGGTGAGGATCACTGGCAGGGGTCCAGTCCACCTGGCCTCTAAGGTAGCTGGATGGAGTTTCTTTACCCAAAGTCTTCAGGCTGCACCTGGAACGAAGCTGGTTTTACTTCTGTAAAATCCACTTCCCACTCTTCTCCCGGGGCTTGTCCCCGTAATCTCCTATTTTAACTTGCTCTTCAGTGTAGTTTAGAGAATTCGGCAGGAGCCGTTCTGGCAGAACAGGGAGAATCTGGAGAGGCCCCACTGGTTTTTGTGCGGCTTCCTTAGCTGTCAGGTCGGCAAAAGCATTTCCTCTCGCCACCAGGGAGTCAGCAGTTTGGTGTCCCTTGCAGTGGATGATGGCCACCTTCTTTGGTAACCAGATGGCTTCTAATAGAGCCAGTATTTCAGGTTTATTTTTTATCTCCTTGCCCCCTGAGGTTAAGAAGCCCCGCTCTTGGTAGAGCGCCCCACGTACATGTGCCATTGCAAACGCATATCTACTGCCCGTGTAGATGTTGACAGTCTTATTTTTTCCCCACCTCAGGGCTTGGGTTAGGGCTATGAGTTCCGCCTTCTGGGCTGAGGTCCCGTGCCCCAAGCCTTGTGCCCAAATAACACGGTCTGCAGTCACCACAGCCGCCCCTGCATACCTGACTCCTTCAGACAAGTAGCTGCTTCCGTCCGTGTACAGTTCCTCGTCAGGGTCTGACCGCGGATGATCAGTGAGATCTATCCTTAGGTTAGTAAGGGACTCCAGTATCTCATGGCAGTTATGCAGTGGCTCTGACGACTCATCATCTGGAAGCAGGGTGGCAGGTTTGAGGGAGGCTGTCTTTAAGAAGCGAATCCTGGGGGGATCTAGCAATAGCACTTGGTACTGGGTTATTTGCGAGTTGGAAAGCCATCTTTCAGGCGGGCTTTTTAGTAGAGCCTCTACCGAGTGGGGGGAAATTATACACAAGTCCTGTCCCAAAATGAGCTTGGAGGCTTCCTTTGCCAGGATGGCTGTCGCAGCAATGGCCCACAAGCAGTCTGGCCAGCCAGATGCTACAGGGTCCAGCCTCTTAGATAGGTATGCAACTGGTCTGTTGCAGGGTCCTAGCTTTTGAGTTAGGACTCCTTTAGCTATCCCTCGGGTTTCAGTAACATATAACTGGAAAGGCCTGGTCAAATCGAGCAAGGCCAGTGCAGGGGGCACTCACAAGCGCCTGTTTGAGGTTCTCGAAGGCTTTCGCCTCAATTTCAGTCCAGATCAGGGCGTCCTTCTTTCCCCTTGTGGTAGCATATAGGGGTTTTGCTATCTCAGCAAACATGGGGATCCAGAGTCTGCAGTACCCCACTGCCCCCCAAAACTCTCATACCTGTCTCTTAGTCTGGGGCTGTGGGATCTTTAGGATAGCTTCAATTCTACTGGCGGAGAGGGTTCGTTTGCCTTCCTTCAGTTCATACCCCAGGTAGGTTGCTGTCTGGGTACAAAGCTGAGCCTTTTTAGCTGAAACACAGTAGCCCAACTGAGCTAATTCTGTTAGCAAGTCCTCGGTAGCTCTTTTGCACGTGGCTTGATCCTCTGTGGCTAGGAGTAGATCATCCGCATACTGCAAGAGAATCACTTCTGGATGCTCCTGTCTAAACTGAATCAAGTCCTGGCTTAGGGCCTCACTGAACAGAGTGGGTGAGTTCTTGAAACCTTGCAGCAGTCTTGTCCAGGTCAACTGTCCAGAATACCCTCCCTCCAGGTCAGTCCATTCAAAAGCAAAGATGGGTTGACTTACCTCAGACAAGGGGAGCGAGAAGAAGGCGTCCTTCAGGTTCAATACTGTGTAGATCTGACGGTTTGGAGGCAGTTGACTCAGGAGAGTATATGGGTTAGGCACAGATGGATGGTCTCAGTCCTCTTACTGACTTCTCTGAGGTCCTATACCGGTCAATAGTCATCAGTCCCCAGTTTTTGGATGGGGACCAGAGGAGTATTCTAGGCTGACTGGCAAGGAACTAGAATATCCGCTTCCCAGAGTCTTTTAATATGAACAGCAATTCCCCTTTTTGCTTTTAAACTGATAGGGTACTGTCGAACTCGGATGGGGGTGGCTGTACTGTTAACTGTACAACAATAGGAGGTCGGTGGGAAGTCAGTCCTGGTGGATTAGTCTCTGCCCATACGCCGGGGATTTTGCTTTGGAATTCCTTAAATACGGGCTTGAGACCAGTTGTGAGGGTGCCCTGTCCATTAGTAAATATTCCTCCGACAGGGGACATGTAAGGAGAATGGTAGATGGGCCTTGATTGAATGAAAGTTCAGATGTATCCCACTGAAAGGATATAGTTGTCCGCAATTTTTGGAGCAGGTTCCTTCCTAGGAGGGGATACGGGTACTCGGGCATCACCAGGAATGAGTGAGTAATGGTACCTGCCCTGAGCTCAGTTATCCTAGTCTTTGTCCAGGGGTAAGACTTCGTTTTTCCGGTAGCTCCTTGAATTAAAGTTTTTCTTTCAGACACGGGTCCCTCGGCCCCCTGAAGGACCGAATGTGTAGCTCCAGTGTCTACCAGGAATTCTGTAGGTTTGCCCCCTACATTTAAAGTTTTGTTTTTCCAATGGCTGTGCTCTTTGCAGTGAGCACACTGGTCGGGAACTAGGTCAACTCTTCCCTTCCTATTGCCTCGGCTTGTTTTCTTGTTCCCTGAATGGTCCCTTCTTTATATTTCCCTTGTCCCGCCATAGCAGATACCAGGATCTTAGCCATTTTCTTAGACTGTACAGTTCCAGGATCATCCCTATTATTATAAATCTTCTGGGCAATTTCTACCAGTTCAGACAGCAACTTTCCCTCAAATCCTTCCAACTTCTGCAATTTTCTCCTAATATCTGGGGCCGACTGGGTGGCAAAAGCAATATTAATGGCATGTCTATTTTCTGGTGCCTCTGGGTCTATAGGGGTATGCAGGCGATAAGCTTCAAAGAAGCGTTCTAAAAACACTGCTGGGGACCCATCAAGTCCCTGTACTGTTTCGCTTACCTTAGATAGTTTAGTTGGCTTTTTAGCCACAGCCCGTATGCCCCCGAGTAGAGTCTGGCGATACCGATCAAGAGCCTCCTGACCTCGCTCTTCCTTGGGATGCCAGTCTGGACTCGTGGAAGGGAAAACATGTTGTACGCGGCCTGGATCTGTGGTAGGTTGCCCGTCAGGGCCAAGATTGCCTTAACAGCCTCTCTTTGTATACACTCTCTCTCTTCAGAAGTAAAGACAGTCTGGAGGAGTAGCTGACAATCCTTCCAAGTGGGCTGATGAGTGAAGAAAATAGTCTCGAAGAGAGATATCAATCCCTGTGGTTTCTCAGTAAAGGACGGATTCTGGAATTTCCAATTATACAGATCACGAGTTGAAAAGGGAACATAAACCATAAATGGCTGGCGATCAGGCCCTGGTGGCGAGGGGACCTGCCTTAGAGGAAAAATGGGAGCTTCAGATGAAGAGCCCATGGATGGCCGGTAACATGAGCCCCTTCGGGTATGGGGTGGGCTCATAGGCTCTGGATCCGGTTCCGGGCATACTGGTTCGTGAGCAGAGGCATACAGGGGTGGTTCCATCAAAAGCAGATCCTCTGCTAAATCGGTTAAAACTGGACCCAATTTTGGCTTCTCTTTGACCCCAGAAAACGGCTTGGATACAAGAAATGTACCAGCCCTGCCAGCCATTTTCTTATAGGACTGTAATCACTTGGGCTTTTCTATTAAAATGTCATTCCAAATTTGTATATAGGGGATCTGATCTGGGTGCCCTGGGTTTCCAAAAACTATGGCCTGGACTTGATTGGCGAGGGTGATTTGGGTGTTACCCTCCGGGGGCCACCCTACACCAAACGTGGGCCACTCCTGTTCACAAAACTTCTGTAAGTCAAAGGTATTAACAGTGAACCTATAGGGCTTTGCCCTCCATTGAAAGTCCTCGAAATTTCTTAAAAAGCATTCTATAGGGGAGTAAGCAACACAAGAAATGGACTGGCTCATGTTGTTGTCAGGAGAACACGAGCACACAAACACAACTGACTAATATTACTGACAGCTTAAAACTGGACCTGGAGGCGCACGCCAAGTTGTTGTTGAATATAGAGTAAATAAGTTCAATACTGGTTGGTTAATAACAAATGGCACTGACAGGAAAAGCAAGCATTAGGGCAGATATTGGGGACCCACTGAGAAGGTCCTGGATGTGGCCGGGTGGGTGTCCTGTCATGTCTCAAGTTGCGGGCTGTGTCCACGCACTGTTCCTGGAATCCCATGCAAATCACCTAAACTGGAATTCCGAGGAACCTGAAAAGGAAAATCTACAGTATATACAATGAAGTTCACATCAGCGGCAATGTTTTCCAAGGCAGGGAGACAGGTCACACGGGACTGAGGACAGAGGTCAATTACAAAAGACAAAAAGGCAATTAGTGTCGGTAGTCAGTCAGTCAGTCCACTAGGAGTCGGCACAGGTGTGGGTTTCTTTGAGACCATTCTCCATTGGTATTTTTTTTTTTTTTTTTTTTTTGAGACAGAGTCTCGCTTTGTTGCCCAGGCTACAAAGTGAGTGCCATTGTGTCAGCCTAGCTCACAGCAACCTCAAACTCCTGGGTTCAAGCAATCCTACTGCCTCAGCCTCCCGAGGAGCTGGGACTACAGGCATGCACCACCATGCCCGGCTAATTTTTTCTATATATATTAGTTGCCCAATTAATTTCTTTCTATTTATAGTAGAGACAGGATCTCGCTCTTGCCCAGGCTGGTTTCGAACTCCTGACCTCGAGTAATCAGCCTGCCTCGGCCTCCCAGAGTGCTAGGATTACAGGTGTGAGCCACCTCGCCCAGCTTCCACTGGTCTTTATCTGACAGCAGGGCCAGCGGGAGTGGCCCTGATCAGGCTTCCATTTCTGATTGCTTTTCTCCTGATACCGGTTTGCTCTCCACTTCCTTCCTTAAACCCTACTGGCCGCAGGGGACCCCTTCAGAGTCAGGTCAAAACAACATGCAAAATTCAGACAGAACACAGACAAGACAACACTTCATAAATAAGAAAGGAAGCTAGAAAACCAGAAAACGTCTCACCCCTAGGGACCTGACCCCAGGAGTTTAGCTGCGTCCAGCCTCCCAAGGGTAAAAAGAGGGCCCACAGACAAAAACAGACCAGAAACTCACCGGTTAGCAGAACCAGAAGACTCATCCAGGGGAATTTGGTTGCTTTTAAGGTGTCAGTGGCTGGCCCGTTGTCTAGCCGTCGCCTGGGGCTGAGGAACATCTCTCAGGGGCACCCCCCTAGGCGAGGCGCTACACTCCACACGCTCTCCCTGACACTCGTGGTCACCAGGCGCTCCGTGTCAGGCACATCTCGCTGGGGCCTCCAAATGTTATGGTCTGGAACGTGAGAAAAGACCACCTGAAGACCGAATTAAGCCAAATTGAGAGTATTAGCTGGCCAGCGACTCCCCCTTGTACTGCTGAGAGGCAGGTACAGAGAGCAGTATTAAGCCATAACATCAGGGAGGTTTTATACCATCCTAAGTTAGATCTACGTGACTTCAGGCATCAGAGTTGGAACAGCATTACATCACACTTTCCACAGCTGCAGGGTCTGAGACCAGCCAAGGACCACATCCTGTTCTCATAACAATCCTTTTTTTGGATTCCAAAAAGTTTAAATTTTATTAGAAGAACATGAAAAATACATCTGTATCATGAATCCTGTCTTACTCATCAAAATATTTGGTATTTTTTTGCAAACCTGACCTCTTGTTGGAGAAGATAATCATGCTGCTGCATTTTATTACTTTTCTAAGTACTTGATTGATTAAGAAATTATGTTCTACTTTTGTAGATTAGCAGACGCAAAATTGAGAGCTTTTGAGTTATATAGCGGTTGTAAACCAATGGATCAAGGGGACTCGGACACCAGGAGCCAATTACCAAATTTTATTATATCCTGCACGCAGGGGACATCACCCATCCATGCAAAGAGGGAGAAGCGGCCCCGAGTAAAATATACTCAGGGTTTTATACCCTAGAAACAGGCAGCTGTGTAAGCAAGCGGGAATATAGAAGCAGAACTTGGTGGTTAGTTTTTCTGAGAAATACACCTGTTGGTACTGGGGAGTACCTGTTGGTACTCTTTCCAGAGCACATCCTTTCCCTCCTCCCCCCTCCCTCAGGCCCCCACCCAGCTTTCTCTAGAAAATTTTTCACTACTGGCTAGGTTGCAACGTAGCTAGTGGCCATAAACATAGGTACAAAACCCTGTGTACTGTACACACAGGCCTTCAGTCAAAACTTATTTATTGTAGAAAAGTTTAGATATCTTAGTTTCTTGTTCACATCATTTTAAGAAGCAACAAATTAGCCATTGCACAAACTGTAAACAATAAATATCTACTACTTTTTCTTCAAAGCATTGAGATCTAATAGTTGCTAATCTCTAAGAAGAACTATACAAAATCATGATACTAAGACTTTCGATTCCGTCCTGCCTCAGGGCCCAAGGATTGTGAGTGGCCTAATAAGAAGAGAGACAAACCATCCGGGTTGTGTCCGGACTCGCTCTCTATGGTTGTCCGCTCTCCGCGCTCTATGCCTCTCTAGCCGCTCGCGCTCTATGCTCCGCGGTCGCGCGCCGCCAGCCAGCCAGCCGCCAGGGGTGCGCAGAGGGAGGCGGGGCGGAAAGGCTAGAGGTGTCTCCTCCACCCCCGGAGCCGCGGGAGACCCGAGCAAGCTCTGTGACCGCACGTCGGCCGCCAGTGGGACCGGAAACAGACCCGGCGCCCAGGGGTAGCCCTCCTTTCGCCTCCGAATCCCAGGTGAGGAGACGAAGAGCGGAATGCTGGGGACCGCCGGCTCGCGGCGGGGACGGAACGCCTTTCGGGAGCCCCTCGCTGCTCCCCCTGCGCTGTCCTCCTCCAGCAGCGCCGCCTCTGCCTTCTCGGTGAGGGTTAGTCAGGTTCCCTCCCCGCCGCCCCCTCTGGGGTCTCCTGTTTTCCTCTTTTCTGCAGCCCCCGTGGGTCCTGATAACAATCTTTTAAGCAAGCGGGTTCACAGAAGCAGAAGGCATTAGTCCCAGCCAAAGCACGTCCTTTCACGGGTTAAGCGATCATAGTAGATTTTTAGTTATACGATACTCTACACAGATTGAAACGATCAAAACAACCAGTCAGAGGTTAACGTTTTCCATTGCCACAGGGCACAGTTTTGTGTCACAACTGAAGGGCAGGCTGAGCTTTAAACTTTGGGGTCCTTTACACCAGAGGGTGGCCCGGGAAGGGGAGGCGACCACAGACGTCCGCCCGACGAGCAGCCTCACTCCACTCCGGCGCGGGGCCGGCGCTGCCTCCTCCCCCGTAGGCGTGCCGGGCCCTCCCGCCCGTGCACCCCGTCTTCCCGGATTCTTTTGTTGGAAGAGAGGCGGGCTGGGGGCGTAGGACCGCGCGGCTAGCAGAGAGCCCCAACCCGGCTGTCGCCTGAAACAGGGGTCACCTCAGCTAGGATCCCCCCGGCGCGCGCGGCAGAGCCAGGGTGCGGGCTGCTGCCTGGGTTTCCCCATCCGCGGCGGGCTCTTCCCGCCACGTCCCCGCGGTCACGCCTTCCCCGGAGCCCGCCCGGCCCCGCTCACCTCCCGCCGATGGCAGCCCAGGAGTGCAGCCCGCTGGGTGGGCTGCGGCCGCGCCCCAGCTATCCCGGTTGTAGACCCTGCGCCTCGGCCAGGGCAGCCAGGGCAGCCGACGTGGCCGCCGGAGCCCAGAGACCCCGCCCAGGAGCTTGGGTTACCGCCCCCGCCCTTTCCAGCCCAGTACTCACTAGGCCTCGGAATCCGCGAAGCCGCCTCTGGATCCACAAGGGAGAGAAACTGAGGCCCAAGAGGTCAGTGGCCTGCCTGAACCACAGAGCTGGTCGGTGCGGGTCAACCTCGAACCCAGAGACCCACCTCAGGCTATTCGCTGGCCTCGAACCCAGCCCACCGCCAGGAGAACTCAGAGTCCCTTCCCTTTGCCCTCTGGTACCCCCTTCCCCACCCGTCCCACTTCTCCCCCAGAGCCAAGCCAGGCACAGCCTCGCTCTGGGCGCCTCTCAAGGGTGGGCTCCTACACAGTCCGCGAGGCCCTGAGGAGCTTTCCTGGCCACTTCACCGAGCCCCTGTGGTCAGCCGATCTTTGCCTCTGGGAATTATCCATTTCTGCTTCTGCCGCCCGCCCTGAAACCCACCCACAGCCTCCAGGCTCTGCCCGGAGTCCTCGTCGGTCCACGGCTAGGCCTGCGGCCAAGGTTGCAAGAAAGAGCAACCAAATACAAGAGGCTGTAGTTCCCCGAAGGCTCTGGAAGCCCAGGGTGAGCTCAAACATCTGCCCATGAAATTGTGGGTTCCCACCTCAGAGCCTTTGCCTTTGCAGCTCCTGCAGCCTAGGGTGGGTGCCCTTCCTTCTCACCCTCACCCCCCCACTCCTCATGGCTCCTTACATTTGAGTCTCAGCTCAGATGTCCCCTCCCTGACAATGCAATGTACAGTAGCCGCCCCTCTGAAGTAGATAGACTAAAGATGGTTCCCGTAGATCTAAAATGGAGTCAGTCTTGCTCTAACCATTAGTAAAAGGTCCAGACGGTGTGAGGAAGTTCCCAGAGGAGGGAGTCGAGGAGGCCTGTTCTCAAAAAAGAATAGAGAGGTCCTGTTCCAGGAAAGTCCCTTGTCCCTTAGTGCACCTTTCCATTGTTCACTTAACTAATAGCTAACCACAAAGTTCTGCTTCTGTGATTGCTTGCTTGCATAGCTGCCAGCCCCCCAGGGTATAAAGAAACCTCAAAGGCTTTGTTCGGGGCTGCTTCTCCCTCCTTGCATGGAGTGGTGACAGCCCCTGCACAGGTAAAAATAAACTAATTTGGCTGGTTGGATTCTGGTGTCCGAGTCCCCTTGATCTGTTGGTTTACAACACCTCCATCTCTGCCACATCCCTGGGATGTATGTCCATTTTCATCAAACGCACCACTACAGTAAACTTCTCTGCACTCAGGCTTTATTTCCTGTTTATTGTCTGTCTCCCCCCCGCCCCAAATTTCATTCAATTAATGGTATAAACTATAATAAATGTTTTAGAAGGTAATAAGTGGCATGGAAAAAATAGAGCAGGGTGGAGTGTGAGAAAAGACCACCTTAGAAACCACCAGGTCTGGAGTGCAAGAAAAGACCATCTTAGAAACCAAACTGAGTCAAATTATGAGTCTTTATTTACTGGCCAGGACTACTTCTGCCATGCAGAGTGGCAGGCACAGAAAAGTAGCCATGAGCTAGGAAAAACAGCCCCCTTTAAAAGGCAAAAAAATACACTCTAAAAATCTAATTAGCAAGCACTTTTACAGAAGCAAGAGAAAGCATTAATCTTACATTTTTATCTTGTTTTAGCACTCTGGGGTGGGGGGGGTGATCAGAGCCTTGAGGTGGGTTTCGTAGGAGTCACCGGCTGCAGCTAAGATTCAGCTGAGAGGACATCTCTGAAGTACCCTAATTACGGACAACATCAATCTTAGTTGAAGTACATCCTGCATCCTGTGATCTAAGCCAGAGGGCATTCCACTGGGTACATGAAGCATGTCAGGCGCCTCAGGGGTCCAGGGTGTTTCGACCCTGGACTAGTGGCTATATCTTATGGGCAGTTGTGCCATGCACCACAGCCCTTCTTCTCAGTTTCTAAACTGAATTACACTAGCAGGGGCAGGATGGCAGGTGTGGAGTCAGATAAGAGTCAACTGAAAATTTCCCACTCTCCTAAGCAAGCAAGCAAGCATAATACAGAAGCTAATGGCTGGTTATTGGCTACCTGTGGGCCCTAGGCCCTAACATTCCCCACTGGTTTTTAGGAGGGATCAAATCATTAATTCTTCGTCATTTGTGTCACAGATGTGCTGATAGTGAGTTCGAAGAACCATCAGCTTAACAGCCTGAATCCTCTGCTTAACATAGGATTTCAGGCAGTTGATGATGCAAGGTCCAATTAGCAACTCGGACAGGAGAAGGATAATTGGTCCTGCTATAGCTGACAAGAGTGTTGTCAGCCACGGGGACAAGAAAATAAGTTTTTATACCAGTTATTGTTATAGTACCAGAGTGGTTAGCATAGAAGCAGCAGGTTTCACCTAGGGCTATGCAAAGGCCCGCTTGTTTCAGGAACAAGAGGTCTAGGCCTAGTTCAAACAAGCCACTAGGAGAAACCCAAGGAGTCTTTAAAAAGTCTTATCTTTAGTGGGTCCTTGGTGGGCTTGACAACCCAGACCCATTTCTTGGGAAGTTGATCCGGGGTCGCTGTCTTGATCTGCGTGTGGTGGATCCAGTGACGTGTCCCGGCAACCTTCACAACTGTCGGCGTGGAGAGGATCACTGGCAGGGTCCAGTCCACCTGGCCTCCAAGGTAGCTGGTTGGAGTTTCTTTACCCAGACAAGGTCTCCAGGTCGCACTTGCAACAAAGCCTTTTCTGGGGGAAGATTAGTCGGTCCAGGATGAGCGGCCTTCACAAGGTCCAGGGTTTTGGCACCAGACTGTAAGGCCTGCAATGACTTAAGCAGGGAATGATTATTTAATTCTGCTACTTTGTCTTCCCCCAGCATGGGGACAAGTGGGGGCGGCCGGCCGAACATGATTTCATATGGGGGTTAAGCCTTTAACATAAGTAGTGCATCTAGCCCTTAGCAAAGCAAAGGGAAGGAGGCTCACCCAGTCTCTAGTTTTAGTTTACTTAATGTTTCCTTTAATGTCCTATTCATTCTTTCCACTTGCCCTGAACTCTGAGGTCTATAAGCACAGCATAGTTTCCAATTAATTCTTTTTATTTATTTATTTATTTATTTATTTTTGAGACAGAGTCTCGCTTTCTTGCCCAGGCTAGAGTGAGTGCCGTGGCGTCAGCTTCGCTCACAGCAACCTCAGACTCCTGGGCTCAAGCAATCCTCCTGCCTCAGCCTCCCGAGTAGCTGGGACTACAGGCATGAGCCACCATGCCCAGCTGATTTTTTATATTATATATATTAGTTGGCCAATTAATTTCTTTCTATTTTTATGGTAGAGACAGGGTCTCGCTCAGGCTGGTTTTGAACTCCTGACCTTGAGCAATCCGCCCGCCTCGGCCTCCCAGAGTGCTAGGATTACAGGCGTGAGCCACCGCGCCCGGCCTCCAATTAATTCTTAATGCCTTGGTTAGTAGTTGAGTTGTTTTGGCGATAAACGCTGGGTCATTGTCAGACCCCGTTGCCAGTGGGAGGCCGAATCTGGGGATAATTTCAGTCACTAACTTCTTTACAACTACCTGCGCTGTCTCTGACTTCGTGGGAAAAGCTTCTGCCTATCCTGAGAATGTGTCGACGAATACCAGCAAGTAACGGTATCCATATTTACCCAATTTTACTTTTGTAAAGTCCACTTCCCACTGTTCCCCCGAGGCTTGTCCCCTTAACCTGGTCCCGGAGGGAGGGGTAGTCCCTTTACCTGAATTGACTTGTGCACAAGTGAGACATCTAGTTGTTACCTGCTGGGCCATCGGATGTAGCCAAGGGATGTAGTAGTCCCTCTGGAGAAGTTTGGTCAGCTTGGTGCTGCCGAGGTGGGTGCTCTGATGCACTTGCTTGATTAGGTCTCATCTTAGATGTTCAGGAACTAAGACTTTATTGTCTGGGAGGATTTTTCAACCTCCTGAATCAGTTCTAGTTTTTAGGTCTTCTCCTATTTTAACTTTCTTTTTGGTGTAGTTTGGAGAGTTTGGCAGGAGCCATTCTGGCAGAACAGTGAGAATTTGGAGAGGCCCCACTGGTTTTTATACAACTTCCTTGGCTATCATGTCACCAAAAGCATTCCCTCTCACCACTGGGGAGTCCATGGTTTGGTGTCCCTTGCAGTGGATGATAGCCACCTTTTTTGGTAACCAGATGGCTTCCAGCAGGGCCAGTATTTCAGGCTTAGTTTTTATTTCCTTGCCCCTGGAGGTTAAGAGACCCCGCTTCTGATAGAGCACCCCATGTATGTGTGCAGTGGCAAACACATATCTATTGTCTGTGTAGATGTCGACAGTCTTATTTTTTTCCCTGCCTCAGGGCTTGGGTTAAGGCTATGAGTTCCGCCTTCTGGGCTGAGGTCCTGCCCCAAGGCTTGTGCCCAAATAGCCCGGTCGGTAGTCACCACAGCCGCCCCTGCATACCTGACGCCCTAGGACATGTAACTGCTCCCATCCGTGTACAGCTCTTCGTCAGGGTCTGCCACGGCTGGTCAGCGAGATCCGTCCTCAGGTTGGTCAGGGACTCCAGTATTTCAAGGCAGTCATGCAGCGGTTCCGATGGGTCATCATCCGGTAGCAAAAAGGCAGGGTTGAGGGCAGCTGTCTTCAGGAAGCGAATCCTAGGTGGGTCTAGCAATAGTATCTGACACTGGGTTACACGCCAGTTAGAAAGCCATTTTTCTGGTGGGCTTTTCAACAATGCTCCTACTGCGTGAGGGGCGACTATGTGCAAGTCCTGTCCCAATGTCAGTTTGGAGGCTTCCTTCGCCAAGATGGCTGTGGTGGCAATGGCCCGCAGGCAGCCAGGCCAGCCAGAGGCTACAGGATCTAGTCTCTTAGATAAGTAGGCTACCGGCCTGTTCCAGGGTCCTAGCTTTTGAGTCAGGACCCCTGTAGCTATTCCCCAAGTTTTAGCAACACACAACTGGAAAGGCTTGGTCAGGTCAGGTAATGCCAGTGCAGGGGTGTTTACAAGCGCCTGCTTGAGACTCTCGAAAGCTTTAGACTTGCTTTCTGTCCAGCCAAGAGCATCTCCTTTTCCCCCTGTGCTGGCATACAGGGGTTTTGCTATTTCAGCAAACTTAGGAATCCAGAGTCTACACTATCCCACTGCCCCCAGAAATTCACTTACTTGTCTCTTAGTTTGGGACTGCGGGATCTTTAAGATAGCTTCAATTCTACCAGTGGAGGGAGTCCTTTTCCCTTCTTTCAGCTCATAACCCAGGTAAGTTGCCGTCTGAGTGCACAGCTGGGCCTTTTTAGCTGAAACCGATATCCTAGCTGAGCCAGTTCTGACAGTAAGTCCTCAGTTGCTCTCTTACACATGGCCTGATCACTCATAGCTAGGAGAAGATCATCCACGTGCTGCAAGAGAGTCACTTCCGGATGTTTCTGCCTAAAGTGAACTAGGTCCTCACTTAAAGCTTCATCAAACAAAGTGGGTGAGGTCTTGAACCCCTGGGCAGTCTCATCCAAGTCAGCTGCCCCAATACCCTCCCTCCGGATCCGTCCACTCAAAAGCAAAAATAGGTTGACTTACTGCGGACAAAGGGAATGAGAAGAAAGTGTCCTGCAGATCCAGCACGGTGTAGATGCTACGGCTTGGAGGCAACAAACTCAGGAGGGTATACGGATTAGCCACGGTTGGATGGACGGTCTCAATCCTTTTGTTGACTTCTCGGAGGTCCTGTATCATCGGTAGTCATCATCTTGGCTTTTGTACCAGGAGCAGAGGAGTATTCCAGGCCAACTGGCAGGGAATTAAAATACCCACCTCCTGGAGTCTTTTAATATGCACAGCAATTCCCTTCCTTGCCTTTAAGCTGCTAGGGTACTGTCCGACCAGACCGGATGGGGGTGTTGGCACTAGTTAACTGCACAACAATAGGAGGTCGGTGGGAAGCAGTCCCGAGATTACCTTCAGCCCACATGCTGGGAAGTTTGCTCTGAAGTTCCTGCAAGTATGGGCTCCAGACCTGTTGTGGGGGTGTCCCCTCAGCTAGCAAGTATTCTTCTGACAGGGGGCAAGTAAAAAGAATGGTGGACGGTCCTTGATTAAACGAAAGTTCAGTTGTGTCCCCCTGAAATGATATAGTTGCCCATAGTTTTTGGAGTAAATCTCTTCCCAGTAAAGGATATGTGCACTCTGGCACCCCTAGGAAGGAATGAGTAATGGTGCCGGCTCCTAAGTTAGTTAGTCTAGTCTTTGTCCAGGGGTATGCCTTCATCTTCCCTGTAGCCCCCTGGATTAAGGCTGTTTCCTTGGAGACCAGCCCCTCTGCTTCTCGTAGGACTGAATGTGTAGCCCCAGTATCCACTAAAAATTCTATGGGCTTGCCCCCAGTATTCAAAGTTACCCTGGGCTCCTGGGGGCTCTTTAGAATGGAGCCCCCACCCCGTCACTCAACATTTTCCACAAGGACAGGTGTGGGCTTTCCTTCTGCCCGTGGCTGATGGGGGCATTCCCGTTTCCAATGGCTGAACTCCTTAGATAGGCACACTGCGGGGGGTGGGGGGTTGGGGGGTGTCTAGGGGGTGTCTTCTCCTTTTACTGGTCCTTGTTCCTGGTTCTTTCTTCTGGCTATGTCATGGCTCTGCCATCGCAGATACTAAGATTTTTGCCATCTTTTTAGACTGTATCGTCCCTGGATCCTCTCGGTTGTTGTAAATCTTCTGGGCAATCTCAACCAACTCAGATAGCAACTGAGTTGCTCAAACCCTTCTAACCTTTGTAACGTCTTTTGAATATCTGTGGCTGATAAGGAGTGAAGGCAATATTTACAGGGTGCCTATTTTGTGGCACCTTTGGGTCTATGGGAGTATACAGGTGATAAGCTTCTAAAAAGCATTCTAGAAATGCCGCAAGAACCTCATTCGGTCTCTGAATAGTTTCGCTTACCTTAGATAAATTAGCCGGAGAAGCCGTATGCCCCCTAAGCAGAGTCTGGCGAAAAAGTCTAGCGAAAGCAGGACAAAGATCAGGGAACCAGAGAGCAGGTCCTGAATACTGCTGAAGCTCTCCTCGGGGATGATGGGCCATGTGTATGCTCTGCTCCCGGAACTCCTTGCAAAACAAATAAAATTAGTTTCTGCTATAGAAAAGCACGACAAAGAGGAATCCTCAAGTCAGTCCTGTTTACTTGTAGACACCGGCGGGGGGGGGGGGGCAGTGGAACCTTTTCTGCTGCCGCTGTCCACTGTTTTTTCTCCGGACAATAAGGGCAGCACTGCTTGCCCTGACCAGGTTCCTGTTTTGACTTATCCTGTACTTGGTTCTCTGCCCGGATTCTTATTTCTGTTCTTATGTGCCATTCAGAGAGATTTAAAATAACACAAGACAACACATGCTAGCAACCAGAAACAATTAACAAACAAAAGGATCCAAAAGTTTCAAGACAGGCCACCCAGGGCACCTGCGCTGGATGGGGGCTGACTCAACCTTGCAGTCAAGACAGCTTCCAGAAACAAAAACCAAAAGCTCCCAGTGACATCTCACTGGACCTTGTTCCTGGGAGTTCAGCTGCGTCCAGCCTCCCAAGGGAACTCCGAGAGGGCCCACAGAACGGACAAACCAGACACCAGTGAGCTGAACCGGAAGACTTGTCCAGAGGAATTTGGTTGCTTTTTGAGGTGTCAGTGGCCAGTGATTTGTCTGGCCATCGCCCGGGGCTGAGGAACGTCTCTCAGGGCCCCCCCACAGGCACTCAACTCTGCACCGCACCCGGTCCCCGGGAACCAGTGGTCACCAAGCGCCCTGTGTCGGGCAGTCTCGCTGGGGCCTCCAAATGTTATGGTCTGGAGTGCGAGAAAAGACCACCTTAGAAACCGAATTGAGTCAAATTGTGAGTCTTTATTTACTGGCCAGGACTACTTCTGCCCTGCAGAGTGGCAGGCACAGAAAAGTAGCCATGAGCTAGGAAAAACGGCCCCTTTTTAAAGGCAAAAAGCACACTCTAAAAATCTAATTAGCAAGCACTTTTACAGAAGTGAGAGAAAGCATTAATCTTACATTTTTATCTTGTTTTAGTGCAAACGGGGGGGGGGGGGGGGGGGAGGGGGTTGGAGCCTTGAGATGGGTTTTGTAGGAGTCACCGGCTGCAGCTAAGATTCAGCCGAGAGGATGCCTCTGAAGTACCCTAATTACGAACAACATCAATCTTAGTTGAAATACATTCTGCATTCTGTGATCTAAGCCAGAGGGCATTCCACTGGGTACATGAAGCATGTCAGGGGTCCAGGGTGTTTCGACCCTGGACTAGCGGCTATATCTTATGGGCAGTTGTGCCCTTCCCCTTAGTTTCTAAACTTAATCACACTAGCAGAGGCAGGATGGCAGGTCCAGAGTCAGATAAGGGTCAGCTGAAAATTTTTTCACTCTCCTAAGCAAGCAAGCATACAGAAGCTAATGGCTGGTTATTGGCTATCTGTGGGCCCTAGGCCCTAACACAGGGTAAGAGAGATTGGGAATTGGGGGGAGGCAGTTGTAATTTTTTTTTCCCCCGAGACAGAATCTTACTCTGTTGCCTCGGCTAGAGTGCCATGACGTCAGCCTAGCTCACAGCAACCTCAAACTCCTGGGCGCAAGCAATCCTCCCACCTCAGCCTCCTGAGTATCTGGGACTACAGGCATGCACCACCGTGCCCGGCTAATTTTTAGTTACCCAATTAATTTCTATTTTTAGTAGAGACGGGTTCTTGCTCTTTGTCAGGTTGGTTTTGAACTCCTGACCTTGAGTGATCCTCCCACCTGGGTTTCGGGAGATTTTAAATAGAATGGTCAGAGTAGGCCTCACTGAGAACGTGACATTGTACAATACTTGAAGGAAAAGAGGGAGCCAGCCAGGCCAATACCCGGAGAAAGAGTATTCCAGGCAGAGGGAGCAGCCAGTGCAATGACCCTGAGCCCCACTGTGTGTGAGGACCTGCAGGGCCAGTGTGGCCAGGAGGCAGTTGGAGATCGGGGCAGAGGGTGTGGGTTGTGGCTCTGTAAATCTCTGTGGCCTGCTGATCCAGACGAGGTGAGCAGCCCTCCCAGGGTTTTCAGTGAGAGGTGACCTGAGCTCTGTTCCCAGGCCCACTCCGGCGCTGTGGAGAGCGGGGACATAAGAGGAAGCAGGAGTGAGAAGGCTGCTAGAATAACCGAGGCATGATGAGATGAGGGCGGCGAGGGAGAGGCGGCCAGACCTGGAGTGGGTGTGAAGGTAGGAGGGTGCAGGGTCTGACCAGGGATTGGCTGGGGGATGGGGAGAGAGGGACTCCAGGCTTTTGGCTCCAGCACCTGGAAAGAGAGTGACCATTACCTGGGAAAGGGAAGGTGGCAGGTGTTCACTTTGGGGCCTGTGATGTTTGAGATGCCCAGTGGTCACCCTTGTGGAGGTGTTGTTGGGGCACAGAAAAACAACACCCTAAAGTATGGCACTTTGGCGTGCTGAGAACTTTCAACCGAAGGACATGGGAAGGCCCTCAGAAGCAAAGTCTCTCTTTGCCTTTCTCCTGCCCTTCTTTCTCCATAGAAACTAGAATTCCTCTTCCCCAAGGTGGGTCACAGAAACCAGAAATGCTCCTTGAATCTCTCCTCACCTTGATTGATTGATTGATTGAGACAGAGTCTCACTCTGTTGCCCGGGCTAGAGTGCTGTGGCGTCCGCCTAGATCACAGCAACCGCAAACTCCTGGGCTCAAGTGATCCTTCTGCCTTGGCTTCCTGAGTAGCTGGGACTACAGGCACGCGCCACCATGCCCGGCTAATTTTTTTCTATATAGTTTTAGTTGGTCAATTAATTTCTATTTTTTTTTCGTAGAGATGGGGTCTCATTCTTGTTTAGGCTGGTCTCAAACTCCTGACCTTGAGTGATCCTCCCGCCACAGCCTCCCAGAGTGCTAGGATTACAGGTGTGAGCCACCGTGCTGGGCCCTCCCCTCACCTTTATGTGTGGGAATTGGCCTCCCGGTCTCCTCTGTCTGACAACAGGGCATAGGACTCATTCTGGAAGGGGCACTGCCCACTCCCAGGAGGAAGGATCAGTACAGACCTGGCCGGGCTTCCCCACGCAGTCCATTACCACTAGACCCTTCCCTTTTGTCTAACACATTTCTATATGGCTGTTCTTTTTTCATCGAATCTAACCATAAAAATACAGTTTTCCCTGAGTCTTTGGGTCTTCATTTCTGAAGGCTCCCATGTCATGTAAAGCTCAGATGCAATAAATCTGTTTGCTGTTCTCCTGTTTACCAGTCTTTTGTTATAAGAGTGTCTACTGTGACCCTCGTGATGGATGAGGAAAAACAGTGATATTTTCCTTCCAGCCCCTACAGTGCCCAGAAGAGTGTATGGCACCTAGTAGTTTCTCAATAAATGCTTGATGGATGAATGAGGGACGGAATGCGCAGTGCCTGTGGGAGCAGTCCCTTGAGTGTCAGGTGTGGGAGGAGAGCCTCCTGATTCTTCCAGAGCCGCGTCCCCCGCCCAGCCGCCCTCCTCTCCAAGTGTCTATCATCTTCGATTGCCAGTCCGAGCGGCTGACCAGGGGCCTGGCTTCAGGACGTGCCCTCGTTCCCTGTCACAAATTCCCGGGCAGGTAGTCACTGCACAGCTAGTTACTGAGCGCCTGCAGCGCCCTGGGCGGCGCCCTCGCACTCACGGCCCCCACGGAGGTGAAAGGACCTGCCTGGGGCGCAGCGGGCCACCAACAGCCGGGCCCTCAGCCTGCCCGGCCCGCGGCGGCCTCGGGACCGGGCAGGGCGCGAGCTCCCGGGGGCGGGGCCTGGGAGGCTCGGGCGTTGGACGTCCGGGGCCCGCAGGGGGCGGGGCGCACGTTGCTAGGGGGATTCTGATAGGTTGCGCCTCAGAACGCGCCTATCCCGTGATCGCGGCGGGGGGCGGCTCGGGAGTCCGGAGCGCGCGGGGGTCTGAGCGCGTCGCTAGGGTGAGTGCGGCGGGCTGCGACTCCGCCGCTGTGGGGGGCCGGGGGCGGGAACCTGGCCCGCCGTCCCGACTCTGATTCCGGTCCCGCGCCCCTGTTCTTCCTGGGCGTCCTCGAGCCCGTGGCTGCCCCGGCCGGGCAGAGTGCCGCCCAGCGCCGCGGAGGGCGAGGTCTGACGTCCAGGACACCTTGCTGAATGTTTCCGAGGGAAGAAACGAGCTCCGGGAAGTGATGCCTGACGACGGGGCGGGGTAGTGAGGGCGACTTGGGGACCGAGTGTGGGATCCACGGCGAAGGTTAAGGGCGGCAGGGCTAGCCAGGCAGTGTGCTCCAGTGTTTTGCTAACGTTTCTTAGCTTCCAGAGCCCACGTATACAGCTGATACAAGCAGAGCAGATCTGGGCTGATCCTCAGACGCTGAGTCCGGAGCAATGTTGCTGAAGACAGGTACCTGCACTAGCAGCGGTGGCTTTGGGAGGAGGGGTGAGGGCTACATGGAGGAAGTTCCAGCCCTGTGGTGTCTGGCCCTTCTTCCCTGATTTGGGTTTGTGGGGAGATGAGTTCCTTTATCTTATTCTTGGAGCTGGGCCGCTCCACACCCAGGAATCAGTTCCCTTTCCAAACAGGCCTCTTCCTTTCTCGACCCCTCTCCCCCAAGTGCAGAGACCCTATCTTATGTGAAAGCGGGATGTGCTGAGAACAGACCCGTAAAGTCTCTACAGTAACTTCATCTTGTAGATGAGGAAACTGAGGCCTGAGAGGAAAAGGGCTCACCTACGTAAGCTGGTTGGGTGCAGGTCCAACCTGGCGGACCTCTTAAGCCCTTCTGAGCCCCCTGTAGGGCCTGTGGTAGAGAGCAACTGGCCCCAGGCTCAGGAGACCTGGAGTATGGGCATGATGTAGAGATGGTCCCCCACTTATGGTTTCACTTTACCATGGCTTGAAAGTGATACACATTCAGTAGAAACTGTCTTTCAAGTGCCCATACAACCATTGTTTCACTTTTAGTACATTCAATAAATTACATGAGATAGTCATCACTTTATTATAAAACAGGCTTTGTGTTAGAAGATTTTTGCCCAACTGTAGGCTTATGTAGGTGTTCTGAGTATGTTTAAGGCTAGGCCAAACTATGATGTTTAGTAGGTTAGGTGTATTAAATGCATTTTTGACTTGTGATATTTTCAACTTGAAATGGGTTTGTTTATCTGGATGTAACCCCACGGTAAGTCTAGGAGCATCTGTACTGTTAAGTTCTGTGTATGGGGTGGGAGGAACTGATCAGGGGCACAGGAAGGATATAACTTTAGGTGTTAGTTTTGCTAATTCCAGCACTGCTGTGACAACAGCAAGTGGGAAGCCAGAACTCAAACACGTTGCGTTGCCCAGACACTATCCTCCCACTTAGGGCTCTGCAGGAGCAAGCTGTTGCAGGGGGAGCCATTTCTATCCTATCACAGGAGTTGGGTTCCCCTATATGCAGACAGGCAGCCTCTGCAGGGCTGGGCACCATGTGGATGGGGGGGATGAAGGCCCCGCTGTGGGAGCCACTCAGTCACACATCTACGCCCCCCAGTGTTCTTGCTGGTCCTAGTGGCCCAAGTGCTGATGCTGGACAATGGGCTCCTGCGGACGCCACCCATGGGCTGGCTGGCCTGGGAACGCTTCCGCTGCAACACGAACTGTGATGAGGACCCAAAGAACTGCATCAGGTGAGTAAGGTCTGTACCTACTGGCAAGCCCTGCCCAGGCCCTGCAAAGTGGGCCAGGAAGTAGAGGATCAGCTAAGAAATAGGACAAGGTCAGAGACCCCATCCCAGAGATTGTAGCCAGAAATAACTTGAGACATCTGACATGTATCTGTATTACCTATCTGGGGCCTCTGTGGGGACTGTCAGGCCCCAGGCAGGTCACAAGGCAGGGACCTTTTATGGACCCAGCCTCTGAGATAACTGTTAAAAGGTCAGGTCAGAGTCAGACATGGTGCTTATAATCCCAGCTAGTGAGGAGGAGGCTGAGAT